AGGAACTGTGTTTTCAGCATCACCAGCACCCATTAATTAGCACAATATCTAGCACTTATTTGATCGAACAATAAATATAAAATGATTCATCCAGCAATTTCAAAGCAATAACAAACAGCTCAAGGAGTCAGCTGTTACTTGTTTGGGAGACACACTAACAGAAAAAAAAAAAAAGAGTGACTGTGAAGGCTACTCAATTGAGTTAAATCCTAGATCCCTGAATTTGCATTTTGTTTTTTCAACATGAAAATCCATCTCTCATTGGTCAGGAAAACTTGAAGAAAATTCTAAGGTTAAATTACAAAGCAGTGGGTGGGCACTGTGGCTTTGTCACACAGTAGCTTAAGTTGCCAAGTGGAATGCCTACATTCTGGGATCACACTCCTTCCCCACTTCTGACTCATCTTCCTGCTAATGTGCGCCCTGGGAGGCAGCTGTTGAAGGCTCCAGTGCTTGGCCCCCGCCACTCCTGCAGGAGGTGGTTTCTGGCTCCTGCTTAGGCCTGTTCCAGCCCTGGCTGTTGTGGGCATTTAGGGACAGAAGTGGGAGTTGGAAGACATGCTTCTCCCTCTCTAGGGTTCTACTTTTCAAATACAATTTTTCAAAATTATCTAATGAGCTTTATATTTAAGATTTGCGAGGCTATTATGAACCAAAAAGTTAGAAACACTGAAATGTCACATTTTACTACAGTACTCCTTAAAATATAAGCAAAACTTCATAAACAACACAAAAAATATAAGCTATGAAGATTTATTTATTTTGGAAGGCAAAGTTACAAAGAAAGAGGGAGAGGCAAAGACAGAGCTCTTCCATTTGGTGGCTCACTCTCGGGACAATGACATGGCCAGCACTGGGCCAAGATGAAGCCAGGAGCTTCAGCCAGTTTTCCTCTTGGATGGCAGAGGTCTAGCCAATGGGCCAAGATCTGCTGGTTTTCTTAGCCAAGCAGTAGGGAGCTGGATCAGAAGTGAAAACAGCCAGGACACAAACCAACCTCCATATGGGATGTCATAATATCAGCTTCAGTGGTAATTCTTTTCAAAAAAATGTCATACACAAAGCAAGAGTGACACAAATTAACTGACACAATTGGTATTAAAATAACTTGGAGGAAGATAGCTTAGGGGGAAAAATGGCATAATTAAAGAGTAGGAGAAGGCTACTTTACTCCAACCAGAATAAAATGACCTAAGAGGTCCTTCAACTTCAAACAGCCAAACAAGGGCAGCATACAAAACGCTTACTAAGGATAAAATACAAGCCCAGGACTAAAGTTACATCATCTGAATTTTATAGAAAGAAATGCTTTACTGTGCAGAAATCAAATGCCAAAGCGAGGTTGGAAACCCCAAGTGTCAGGTTCTAGTGCATGCAATACTCAATCCAGAATGCAGTTATAATGGTCTGGAATAAGAGCACATTCTATAACTTGGGGAATTTTTCATAAGTATACCACAAATTAGGCTTATGATTAAGTAGGTGTGGAAGTGACCAATTAAACAGTTAAATGGGTTTCTTTGATGCAAGTCTTCTCAGAGACCTTACCATGGAATGCATACTGTGCACCTCAGAGAGCCATACACACTTCAGTACACTGGGACACTAAACAATAACCCTCATCTTCCCAGTTACATGATGAAATTCTTGCATTTTCCCATTTAAAACAGCTTGAGTTTGACTTTTTTTTTTTTTCAGTCGATAGGATAGTTTTGGCAACAATGATTACGTTTCTGTATCTACTTTCCTAACAGCTACAGAACTTCGCTACCTTAACACAAGCTGTAATGGGTGTGTGTCAAAGAAACATCCCTTGGCATAGATAAAAAACACACTAGAAGCAAAGAAAAAAATTAAATTTTCTGTATATCTTGTTATGAATGTTCACTTTAGTCCTGAATACTGTTGCTCTTTATAATACCTATCAGTACAATCTCATCAATTCTTTTCATTCATCCTATATAAATTTTTCTTATACTGACTTTATAAGTTTTGGTAAAAGAATTTCATCAATCTAAACTTTCTAATCTAAAATTTTTTATCATTCAGAGTTAAAATCTATCTTTACATTACTAACTAAAAATGTATTGGCAAGAGTGCAACCTTTTGCCAAGGAATTAAGACACCAGTTCAATTTCTGCATCCTTACTAACGGGTCTGGGTTTGATTGCTAGCTCCCAATTCTAGCTTCCTACCAATATAGATGGGCAGAATAGCTCAAGATACTATTGAGATGTGAAAAACAAAGAGGGGATGGCTACTGTTATGCTTACAACCCAAAGAAACATATGCAGAAAACAGGTCATCTAGCATCCAGGGTTAGGAAATTTTCTTACTGCCAAGCGCCATTTAGATAATCTTACATTATTCACAATCCATAGGATATTATCTACTTAAAAATTAGCCTGCTCTGTGGGGCTGGTGTGCTAGCTCCACTGCTAACCTGCCTGTGAGCATCAGCATCCCACATGGGCACCGGTTTGCTTCCCTACTCCTTGACTTACCATCCAGCGCACTGACTGCAGTCTGGGAAAGCAGCAGAGGGTGGCCCAAAGCTTGGGACCCTGTACCCCCAGGGGAGAAGTGGAGGAAGCTCCTGGCTCCCTTGGGTTGCCTCAGTTCTAGCCATTGCTGCCATTTCGGGAGTGAATCAGTCTCTCCTCTGAAAATCTGCCTTTCCAATAAAAATAAATCTTAAAAAAAAACCAAAAAACACTAGCCTGCTTTATATGCAGTGCATTTTGAGTCCTGCCTTTGATTGTGCTGGTAGTGATAACCAGATGATTTTAGGGGCATTATGTGGTCCATGGGTAGACTTCTCCACCCCTGAGTTTGGGAAGATTATAAAAAGAGTCCCAAATGAAGACCAGTTAAAAGCAAGAGAGATATTAATCTGTGACAATTTTCTGATTTTGCTTATCTTAGGTAACTTGTACACTTCTGTATACTGAACTACTAAAATGGAGACAGAACAAATGTGCAAGGATGAAGAAAGTATTGCCTTATAAAAGATAATCTCTATATAGGAAAATAACTGAAGTAGAAAACAATAAATCTAATCTTATTCACTCAATAGGAAGTAGCTGTCACATTTTCTTTACTATTTCTTATTATTACATTAGTTCTTTATTTCAGTCTTTCAGCTTCTGTAACACTTAATGTAACAAGTTACTTCTTAGTTCCAATCTTCACTGTAAAAGTAGAAATCAGCTTTTAAGTGTTTTGGATAAAAAATATGAATCACAAAATCAAAGAACCCTAAAACAAATTTCATTTTACTGTCGTTAAGCTACAAAGTGAAAACTAGTACTTCAAAGAACTGCTTCCCATGTAACTCAATGTTAAAACAGCCGAGAAGTACCACACGAGTACAAAAGGAAATCAGAAGTTTTCACATTGAAATCTTGAGAATGGACCTTAAATATCTATCAATTGTTCATTTCTCATTGTTGCTGTCACACTTTATTACCTGATTTTAGAAACTGATACTAAACAGAAGACACGTGCCATTAGAATGGGAGAACAGGGCCCGGCGCGGTGGCGCAGTGGTTAAGGTCCTCGCCTTGCACGCCCGGGATCCCATATGGGCACCGGTTCTAATCTCAGCGGCCCCTCGTCCCATCCAGCTCCCCGCTTGTGGCCCAGGAAAGCAGTTGAAGACGGCCCAAAGCTTTGGCACCCTGCACCGGTGTGGGAGACCCCGAAGAGGGTCTGGCTTCGGATATGGCATAGCATCGACATGGACTGTTGCGCTCACTTGGGGATTGAATCATTCGGATGGAAGATCTTCCTCTCTGTCTGTCCTCTCTGTATATCTGCCTTTCCAATAAAAATAAAATAAATCTTAAAAAAAAAAAAAAAGAATGGGAGAACAAAGTTGCTTCTCTCAGTAAGCTAGGTTTTCAGTAAACAACTTGGTTGATGTTTGCTGTAAAAGTTTTGGTTTTTTTTTAAAGATGTATTTATTGTTATTTGAAAGGCAGATTAGCAGAGAGAAGGAGAGACAGAGAAAGATCTTCAACCTACTGGTTTACTCTCCAAATAGCTGCAACAGCCAGAGCTGTTGATCTGAAACCAGGAGCAAGAATTCTTTCAGGTATCCCACATGCATGTAGGGTACCAAGGCTTTGGTCATCCTCTACTGCTTTCCCAAGCAATAAGCAAGGATCTGGATTGGACATGAATTGGCTCCCATGAGGAATGCCTGCACTTTGAAGGTGGAGGACTTGTCCATTGAGCCATGGTACTGGCCCCTTACTGTAAAGTTCTACCAAAAATGTATTTCATTGTAAGATTCTAAACTAAAGAAAATAAGTCTTTTACCTGCTGGTTCACTCTCCAGACAGTCACAATGGTAAGGGCTGGCGAGGCTGAAGCCAAGAGTTTCATCCAGGTTTCCCATGTGGGTGGCAGGGACACAAGAACTTAGACCCACCTTCTGCTGTTCTCCCTGGCCATTAGCAGGGAGCTGGATCCGAGTGGAGCAGCCAAGATACGAACCAGCACCGGATTAAGATGACAAGCATGGATTAATTCGCTGTGCAACAACACCAACCCCCAAAGTCAGAATCTTAAACCAATGCATAGAATTAGGTTCAAGCTAATTTTTAGACACTGGTCTCAATAAAAAGTGCATGTATTTATTTGAAAAAAACCAAAACCTGCTAATTGCTATCCCAATCAAGCTTTAAAGAAATAAGCTGCATTATTCAACAAAATAATCAAAGCAAATAATCAGCATCTAAAGGACATCATTTCAGATTTTAATTCTTTTGTCATAAGACACACTTGACGTGGACATCAGTTACATGTACACACAGAGAATTTCATTCTCTTCCCATGCAGTGCATGCAGCTCAATGTAGTTTGTGAAATGCAACCTGCTTAGGAGTTCAGTAAGTTCAAAGGGAATATTAACTGTTAATAGCAAAGGGAGTTAGCTGTGGAAGAAATCCTGGCAAATCCATCATAAAGAAAAAATGAAGGAACATACTGAATTACCTCATTATTCTATCACCTATTGTTGTTCCTCTGATATTAAATCTAGTGAAAGGAACACAATAACTGAAGTCACAAAATTTCAAAGGACCAAATATGTGAAACATTAAGGTAACCAGTTTCTTTCATCAATCATTATAATTAAAATTATTTCCCTTTCTGACTTAAAGCATTAAACCAGAAAAATGTAATTTAATCTAAAATGTATTAAGAAATTAAGGAAACAAACACTCACTGAAGACAGACTGAAGGAAGACACAGTACTTACTGCCTTTGACCTTGTAAATCAACCAGAACCTAAGGCAGTCAGAGTGGGGGACCTGGGTCAACTCACTAGGGCGCCCTCCACAGGAACACCTGCAAGCAGGAACCCCTGCAGGACGCTCCCCAAGGCAAAGAAATACATTCTGAGCTGAATCACTTAGCCTACATACAAGACTGCATAACAAGCAAGCAAATAACAGGGCTTTTAACTCCCCAGGAACCCATTGCTTTGCTTTGATGATGATTTTTTCTCCTGCACTTTCAATTAATATAAAGACTAAATTTGAGTCATTAGAAATATGAGGATGACTGAACAGATGCTGGCAAATTTACAATACAAAGAATTTTTACTTTAAAAATATACACCATGTTACAAAGTCCACAGCAGGTAAATGGAACAAATTCCTACGTAAACAATTTATTAAGTATTAATGGGGAAAATAGGATTAGTATTCTTCATATTTAGGGAAAAACTGCTAGGCCACTGCAATTGAGACAGCTCATTTGTCCTTTTTTTTAGTAACCTTTTTTTAGATGCTTGTCCTTTTTTCTTTAAAGACAGTAGCCTAATTTTCCCTCGAATTTATCAAGATGACAAGCGACCTACCAGATCATCATACCATTTACTCTAAAATAAATATGGTACCATGAAGAGTTTATGTAAAGGTCACCTAAACAAAACCCTAACCATTCTCCTTTCAGTTACGGCAGCACATATTCATACAATATCACTAGGGGATATACATACTCATTGTATTTAATATTCTTTAATATCATGATTAGAAGTGTGCTTGATTTTTTTTCAATTATTTTCCACCTAATCTTATTTTTTTTTTATTGTAGATAAAGGACACCCAAATTCAAAGATTTCATTGCTTTAAATTGGAATACGGACAGCAGAAGCATGTTACCATATACACTATCACATGGTCTCTCTATACGAAACTGACTTAGCAGAGAGCAGGAATTACAAAACAAAGGCACGTGGGCAAAGTCTTGGTCCACCGCTGGTTTTACATAATGACTTTTATGCTAAGAAACATTTCATCTTTTGAAACAGTTACATCTTAAAGGGTCACATAAAAACTACAAAAAAGCCCCCACCTAATTTCTTGGTCAGCAAAGTGCAAAATATTCAATATCCACTGTCTGCTCCTTTAGGAAAAAAAAACACTTGACCTCAGAGATATTCATATAGACTTGTGGTAGTTCTACCTTAAAATATCTACATTGGTTGTGAAGGCCTTCATTCTCTAAGACAAATGCCTTTGCTTGATCTTAGTCCATAAGTGAAATTCCAGGTGGTACTTTAACTAAGTCATAAGAATGTAAATATTTTTCCTTCTTCAGTATAGCCTAAGTTTATTTAAAAATAAGATGTTTGTTATTCTGTTATTATTCTGTAAGTTTACTACAATTCCCTATAAAACAAAACAATATATACAGCAAACTAATTCCAAATATCCAAACTACATGTGTAAAACACAGTATTTAGAGAGGCGGAGAAGCTGGAGCCAGCACTGCGATGCAGCAGGTTGAGCTGTGGTTGGAAGAGCTGGCATCCCATAGCAGAGTAATGGTTCAAGTCCTGGTTCCCCCTTTCAATGCACCTGGGAAAGCAGAGGAGATGGCCCAAGTCCTGGGGACCCTGCACCCACATGGGAGACCTGAGCAGAGCTCAAGAATGGTTTGCTAAGTAAATAAATAGATGGAAGATTTGCCTCTCCTTGTCCTTCTAACTTTCAAATAAATAAATAAATAAATAAATAATCTTTTTTTTAAAAAAAAAGAAAAAGATAGAAGGAAATATAGATCCAGAGTGACTGCAAGCTTGATCTAGCCATGGGACTATGAACTCAGGAGATTATGCCTATGTGGCATCGTGTCCAGGCAGCTGTCTGCTGATTAGCAATCTTCTCAAAGATCCTACTCAGTTTGGCATGCAGATGTCCTGTCGATAAGGCCATCGAAGGTTGATTTTATGGTGGCTCTAAAACCTAAGACAATCTCTCAAACATACATCATCTAATAATTATGAAAGTGATGAGCAAATGATACAGCTTTAGAGAACAATATTATAGCTGCAAGACTGTTTAAGGCCTACACTTCCACCAAAACCTCCTTTCTCAATGACGCTATAATAGTGTTTCTTTTACCACCTGCGTTAGGTCCAGAATACATAAGACTATTGCTGAGCCCTTCAGTTTCTTCAGCTAAGTAGCTTAAGCAGCCATGGGATGTTATAAATAGCCTGAACAGATCCTGCCAAATAATCATAATTTTCTCCAATTTTAATATGTATTTTTTCTAGTATATTTTTAAATGTGTAAGTTGGATGATTATAGAATTTAGCCCTTCACTCTGGATTCTGGGAAACCCTGTTTGATTTTCAAACTGTGTTACACCTGCTAATTATATCTACATACATTAACAGGCAATGGCAGTCTAAAGGGCTTTTACTGGCTATAAAAGGGAACAGAATTATCTTTTACTTATCTCCTATACACACTAAGAATGCTGAGGACTAACAGATGTAAGGAAATTATGGTTGACTAGTCTCTACAGTACAACTACAGGTAAAGACTATTGGCTTCACATTTAAAACCCATGGAAATATAAATATTTCCCAAATACGATTAAAGACACAAAGCTACAGTGTTAAGATTTTTTACTCTGTGTTCAGATTTCATTTCCTTGAGCTATGCTAAGTAGCCACACAGAAAACACTAGTTGCTTAACACAGCAATCATTTATTTAGTGCTCTAAAATGTGAGCTAGGTCCCATGATTGACTGGCAGCATTTTATATGCTTATAAAAATCCCAAATAATCATAATTGTATTTTAGTGTCACTAAACAATACGCAAGAAGAAACAGTGCTGGTACGCAGTGATGTCGGGATTCAAAACCAAGTCATTATGCTCTTCTCATATGAAATATTACCACTTATTAAAGGCGAATTAGTCCTTCTAGTATATCTTCAATTAATAGAAACATCAGAATATTTTACAGTTTATACAATATAGAAATAGGCAAAGTGGTTCAAATAGAAGCTCACCTTTAATTTTCTGCAATAAGAATTTATGGTGTAATATCAATAATTATATAAGGTTTAAGTATGAAATATAAATGTATTTATTTAATCTCCTAAAATACACTATGGGATTATATAAAATGAAAGCCATTTACCATTGAAATGGTCATGAAAAGTGTTTCATAACTAGGTGCACATGCCAGCATTTTTTTCTGTAGCTGTAATATCTGTTATTTTGTGTAACTCTTATTTTTAAGTTTCAGTCGTTAAGCTTACGAGAAATCAGGGATGAAAACATGTTTTTTAAAGAGAACTACTACCACACTACATTACTCCAGGGACACAGGAAAGCAGAACAACACTAAAGATAATACCGATAAAGTGCAGGACATACAAAGCAGCCATATCTCCTTAGTGTTGCTGATCATTCTCAGCATTCACTCCTCCTGAAGTGTAAGTGAGGAGCAAGCCTCAGCGCTGGACAGGCATCAATACATTCTCTTTTTTCCTCTTTTCAATGCACAGTTTGTTCAAAAAATGCAAAAAGAAGTCATGTACAGTTCTCAAAATGCTGATACACCCTCAAACCCTGACTGTCAAAACTGGAGAGACTCCTTTTTGTGACTTCAAACAAATCCTTTGAAATATATCTTTTACAGTTCATGATTATTAAAAAAGTTACCTACCTATCACCAGGTCCTGCTCGATACCTTGCGCCCGGGATTAGGACTGGGTCATCATCACTGTCATCAGTGTCCTGAAGAGTGGCGTCCCTGACCGACGTCTCAGGAGCAGGAGGCTCGATGGCTTCTGGATGGGACTGAGGCTCAGGACTCGGGTTCTGATTGCAAGGACTCTGAGTGCCGGTCTCATCTGAGGTTTCTGGCTCCTTGTCCTTTTCACACGAAGAGGATTCTTCTGGACCCTCACAAGGGCTACCAAGATTAAGGTCACTCTTGTCTCCTGAGTTGGAATCCAATGGCTCGGATGTAAATGTATTTGATTGTGCTGTCAGAAATTAAAGTAGAAATAGCTGGTCATGTGCAACATCGATTGTTTAACTAAGGGACTGATATTTTCCACTATGTCTGATTCCTCTGAGAGGAAAGGGAAAATTTCACAACACATCTACTAGGAAATAGCCTCTAACTCAGCAGATACATATTAAGGCCTTACAAGTAAATCTAATATTAAGGCCTACAAGTAAATCTAATATCTAAAGAGAAAGACAACTTACCTTTATCTATAGGGTTCTGCCCTAGAGTTTCCAAAGATGAACCTTCTTGATATTCTGTCACATCCTCTGATGATTCTCTAAGAGCTTACAGAAAAAAAATCAAGTTAAAAGAAATAAATTAAATCTAATTTTTTTAAATAAAAATGAGCACCAGCTTAATACCATATATCTTTCCTGTGAGTAATTCTTAACCCTTTCTGGGTCAACTCAGACACAAGGTCTCCCCAGTATGATGAAATGCACAGTATGATGAAATGCAAGAACTTCAACAGAACAATGAGCCTGCGGCCTCTTCCCCAAGGGTAGGCATCAAACTTCAACTCTGAGCAAAACCAGTTCTTCAGCTTAGCCACATAGCTATCAGTACTTATTCCTGCTTTTTGCTAACTTTCCCAAAATCTGAATGAAAAAAATGGAATCTATCTCTACTCCTCTAGTATGCATTTGGTAGAAATTACCATTATTAATAAAACAGTAAAGGCAATCCTACTATGAAATCTGTTTTCACACTGAAAACACTTCTGGAGTTCAAGTGCACAATCCATGAAGAATCAGTCTTTTTTATTCCCAACTGTACCTGTGCCTAAGCAGCTGTCTTAAACATAGGCAATTTTAAATTTTTATATTGATGCATCTATCCATTAAGTAACAATATAAAATTAAAGTGTTCCTCAGGCCCAGTGCAATTGCTCAATGGTTAAATGATGTCCTCCTGGCTGCTCTAACTCCTACCTAGTTCCCTGCTTGTGGCTTGAGAAAGCAGTACAGGATGGCACAAAGTCTTGGGATTGAGTACCATGTGGGAAACCCAGAAGCTTCTGCCTCCTAGCTTCAGATCAGCTCAACTCTGGCCTCTGTGGTCATTTGGGGAGTGAACCAGCAGATGGAAGATCTTTCTCTCTATCCTTTTCTCTGTTAATCTGGCTTTCCAATAAAATAAAAAAATAAATCTTTCATAGAAGAACGATTTATCAAGCATCATAAAGCACCTACTGTGTCCCAGTGTCTATGCTGTGTAATACATTTTAAATAATTAATGGTCACATAAAATATTCTTTTAGGAAAGGGTTCTGAGAAATTGCCCAAATGGCACTTCATGTATGAAATACAGAGTCACTCTTAGGCTGTTTATATTTGTTTCTCCTCCCAATCAATAAACTACCTCTATCTAAAGAATCAAGACCATTTCTGTGATTCCACTGATAGGTACAAAATGGCAAAGGCAATTCAGACTAACATCTATAGCTCCCACACTCACAGTATGTAACTACCTCTGCTGCCCACTGGGAGCTGCCACATGGAGGGCTGCTTCATTGGGTCTCCCCATTTTAACTGTTAAGACTCCTGCTTTTTAGATCCGTTGTTTATCAAAGTAGTAACTGGACTGTAGCAGCCAAAATAACTTAATAAACAACAAAAATATAGGAAGGAACAGAAAAGTAGGTAGATATTCAATATGGGGGTCTTATGATGACAAAAACAAAGCGTTGGCTTACTTGCTGTGCTGTCTCCTTCTGGTGGCTCCCCTGAGCTCTGGGGGATCACAGGCTCCTCCTGACCCTCAGATTTGCAATGGCTCCCATTTCCTCTAGAACTTGAAGCTGTACTGCTCCTATGATGAAAGTAAGACAAGTGGTCCCACCAAGAACTTAATAAACATAAACTTTAGGATAATTTTATATTTTATGACTAGACAGGTAAACAAAAAATTCATAGTGCAAAGAAGAATTTTTATTTTAATATTACTTGCAAAGACCATTTTAAGAGAAATATTCTAACACACATTAACCTATAAAGAGACTGAAAGATATAAAAGACTGCTTCAAATTTTTGATGCCTCTTTTATCTAATGTGCATCCTTATATGCCTATTAAATTTTAAACACATTACATTATCTCCCTTTTCACTACAGATACCATATCATATCCAAATTCCTGTCTCAGACTTATCAAACATGACCTTTTAGACTACGTCATTCAAGATTGTTTAAAATTAATACTTACACATAAGCCTGTCCATTACTTTGGATTCCTGTACTGTCCCTAGTACATCACTTTTGTTCTGGTTTGTTATCCAAATGCAGCACATGGCTGAGTGTCACGGTGTGTACAACAGGGTTATTGCTTTCTGTTTTTGTAACACTAACTTAATGGGGCCAGGCACGGTGGCCTAGTGGCTAAAGTCCTCATCTTGAACACGCTGGGATCCCATATGGGCACTGATTCTGATCCCAGCAGCTCCACTTCCCATCCAGCTCCCTGCTTGTAGCCTGGGAAAGCAGTTGAGGATGGCCCAAAGTCTTGGGACCCTGCACCCACGTGGGAGACCCCAAGGAGGCTCCTGGCTCAGCTCCAGCTGTTGCAGCCACTTGGGGAGTGAACCACTGGATAGAAGATATTCCTGTCTCTCCTCCTCTCTGTATATCTGCCTTTCCAATAAAAATAAATAAACCTTAAAAAAAAATACTAACCTAACAATGATTATCGTTAACATTTCTAGATATAGCAGAATAGATCAATTTACATAAATAACTTCATATTTATTTACATAAATAAATGTTAATGATTCTATGAGAAACCACGGCATATGTATAAAGAGGAAACCAAGACTCAGAAAAGCACCATTTGATCCAAATTAGAAGTAAACTCAAAGAAATGCAACAATTCCTTACATTTCAATGTTGGGATTGACACTGCAATGTAGAGGGGGAAGCTACTGCCTGAGACGCCTACATCCCAATGAGCACCAGTTAAAGACCTGGCTACTGCACTCCGGATGCAGCTCCTTGCCAACGGCCTAGGAAGAGCACTGGGCCCTGGTTACCCACGTGTCAGACCCAGATTTGGCTCCTGCTCCTGGCTTGGGACCAGCCTACTCTGGTCACTCTGGTCATCTGGCGAGTGAACTCTCAGCTGAAAGAACTCTCCCCAACAAACTTTCTCAAATAAACAAATATATCATTTAAAAGAGAGTACGAGCTACAGAAGTAAGAAGACGTAGAGGAGGTGGAGGAGGAAGAAACATGAATAAGAAAAGAAATCTGCTACCATAAACATACTGTTGTACACACACAAATCCCAATAACTCGGTAGTCTATACTAAAGTTATCACAGATTCTTTGCTGGTATTCTGTAAAAACTCGCATAGGCTAATGGCAGAAGCCAATTTAACTTTTCATAATGTAACATATTTCTATCTATCTGTGCAAAGATAAATGGAGAGAGCAATGTACTGGCGTTCAGAGTCATCTCAACAAAATTTCTCCCTTTTTTTTTTGCAATGTACATGTGATTTCTTCTTAATCAGAACGATGTAGTGTGTAGCTATTTGGTAAAGAGAAGCAAATGTGATACATAAATCTTCTGAGAAAATTACAACACAGGCATAAGTAAAATGTTCAAGTGCAGTACTTAACAACAAACTTTTATAGTGTTAACACAGTACAGAGGACCATTAACAGAAAAGACACAAATCTTGCCATGTTAATATGGCACTGGGAATCACAGAAAACACATAATTTTGACAAAGTATAGAAAACAAAAGGAATATAAGACGACGTTTTCCTCCTCAGGAAGACAGGACTTTTCTAAGCATGTGGTCACAGTTTGAAAGCATAAAACAAGATTCTCCTAACGAAACTCAAAAACAAACATCCAGCTAGCAAGTATACTTGGAACAGATGAAAGACATAGTTTACTGCCCTTCATTAATTCTATAACAAATTAATAGCTTTAATAAAATCAAAAAGGGTAACCACCACAGTAAAAAAAAAAAAAAAAGTGGGCAAAGTATTTGCGATTCAAATTATAAAAGATTATTTTGAGCCAAGCATCAGGTACCAGTGAAAGAACCTGACACATATACTTCTGCATCATCTCCTTGAACCTTCACTACAGAAACCTTCTACTGCTCATTTTCAGGTAGGGAAACAACTTTAGAAAAGTTCCACTGCTTGAAACCGTCAGAATCCAAGCTCGGGGTAATACTGAGTCACCTGTCATCAAAGAACTAACTACACACTACAGTCCACTCTGCAACAGACAGAAAAATGATGCACACTTATCTTGAATGTTCTGCTGCCTTGTGTGCATGTAACAAATATCAAAGCCTTTCAAAAATCAGAAAATAAAATGGTAATCTGACAAAAAATAAAAATGAAGGAGTATAATCCATAGTCAATCACAGAGAAGGAAAAGGAGCATTTTAAAAAACAATGGGATTAATGATATCTTTTCTTTAAAAAATGCTCAAATGAGAGTCTTTGTAAGAAGTCAACCTCTTTTGCACAGAAACTTGACAACAGAAAATTTAAAATGATCAACCTGTTGACAATGTTAAAATTGCCCACGAAGAAGAAAGGACTCTAGTTATTAACATTTTAAAATGTTAAAATCAAAAACTAGGACACATAAGGAAATAATGCCCACTGCACCGTCAAATACACGTACCTGGAGTTCAGTCACCTTCTTTGCCTACCCCTACTGTCACCATCTCTCATCTTGCTTATTTCTCTTATCCTTAATCTTTTCCTAGTGTCCTGCTTCTGTGTATATTCTCAACACAACTGCTCACAATACCCTTTTGCCTTTGGACTATCCTCACTTTCCCGGCTGAGTGTACATGCCTCTACTCTCTCCTTGCGTCACTGCACTTCATCTACACAGGCTTTCTCAAAGATCCTTAATCACAGTAGGGCTGCTTCTGCTTATGGGTATTTGCACTGGTTTTCTCTCAGCCCAGAACTTTCTTTCAGATACATGATGGTCCCTTCTTTCTCACTGTTCAAGGTTTTGCCCAGATGTCACCTTCTTAATAAAAACGCCTCTCCCTTCCTATGTCTCCCTGTCATCCTTACGTGCTCCATTTTCTCCCACAGTGCTTAGCACCTTCTAATACACTGTTATAGGACACATACTTATAGTTCACCACCTGTTTCCTCTACAATAATGCATCTTCCGAATCTAGAATAGTCCCTGGGACACAGAAGATTTCAATAGTATTCAAAATTTTTATTCAAAGATTTTAGTATAAACTACATAAACACATAAACACAAATGGAAACCAGTAATTTAAATAAATAAAATTGATATGAACATGTATCAACATAGTTATATATTGACTTGTTAATATATAACTACATTATTTATGTACAATAAATTTTATAATATAACAATAGTTAACTTCATATATAAAATAGTAAAACAGCTATAAGTAAATACTATACTGTCAATATATTAATATTAATGTTACAAAAATAGTAATACTAATGTTATCATGGTAAATTTAAAAATAACTGTTAGCTGCCATCTCAGTCAAAAGGCATTTAATTTTGACATTAGGAAAGAACAGAAGCTGTTCACATAACTTGCTTTAAAATATTAAATTCAAATAGATTAAACATAATCAGAAACATCATATTTATACTACACTGAAGTTCAGCTTTACCAGTATATAAATATTCATCAAGGCTTTGCTTAGTTGAAAAAATGGAAACAAATTCACTGCCCAAGTAAAAGGAAATGGTTAAACTAAGGTACACCTACTGGATGAGCTATTGTATAGCTAGTACAGTAATATTTTTAAAATTTAGCATAATGTGTCAAATTCAGAGGAAAACAGAATATATTCAGTAGAATTAAATTTATGTTCTAAAAATTTTTTAAAAGATATATATACACAAACACACACACACACACCTGGACATAGGACCAAAATCACAAAAAGTTTCAGAGTGTTAGGTCCTTCTGTATGAATGACCGAGAGGTGATGACGATCTTCTGCAACTTGTAACAAGGGCAATGTCCCCGAATGAGCATCATGAGCACTGTCTGTAAAGCTGCAGATGAAAATCCCCAGGCCCCACTGAAACCTAACTCAGAGAGGTGGCCACAAACCTGTGCTTAACAAACTCTCCACAGTAATTCTTAGGCACACCACAGTTAAAGAACCAATGCATTTTGGCAAAACCAAACACAAAGCTGATTGCTAAAAACGAATTTCTAATACAATCCTAAAAACTGTTAAGAACATCTTTACAAAAACATTAACTTACCATTCATCTGTAAAGTTCAGTTTTATTGTGCTTGTGGTTGTTCCTTCTGTGCTGTAGTGCAAACTTAAAACTGGTTCACCTGTCCCCGGTTTGGGGCTCAGCTTTTCATTACTGTTATCTGAAAATTGCGTTTAAAACATTTGAAAAAGTCTCTGAAAGCAGTAAAAAGATGACATTTCCTAAAATTTATATAACTTAAGTTAGGATGCCTTTGTCATAATTCTTTTTCACATCTGTTATGGTTCTCATTTAAAGTTTAAAGGCAAGTGACAAAGAAACACTTCATATTTCCAAGTAGCACTGCGTTAAAGCCTAGCTTTGTGGAAATGACTCCCTTTGATTCAGATAAAACCACATAATACACTGAGAACCATATTTAGGGAATCAAAAAACAGTAACAAGCAACGACACACATTATACACTGGTATCTTAAACTATTCGTTAAAAGGAATGCCCACGATACCATTCTTCAGGTTTCTAGTAGCTAACGCTGCCTCCCTCAGAGACACTGAGGACACTCGTCAGGTTGCTCAGGAAAACCTCTGTGGCCATTCAATTCTGCCTGTTCTCTCAAACTCAGTTTTATAGTTTAGGGAAGAATTAGAGCCTGTATTATATGAAAGAACAGGGTTGTTGTGCCTTGTCTCCTAAAACTGTCTTGACTGTAAGATTAGATAATATATTTTGGTTCATTTTAAATGCTAAGGAATTTGTTTCTTAACAATGGAAATGGCAATTTTATCTTAAGACTCCATTAGGACAGTATTTTCAAAATGGCAAATAAAATTTTTAAAAACTATAGAAATTCATAGACCATTCAGTTAAATAGGGCTTTATCAATTTTTCCTTTGATAATGAATTAACACCTTGTGAAAACATTAAAATAAATGGGAAATACAAAAGAGACAATAAGTATGTGACATTTTTCTCATTTGCTTGAAGAAAATACTTGAGTCACACAACAATTTTCTAGAAACTATAGACTGATAAGGCACTACTGAACACACTACGTCTCTTACAAAACAGTAACAGTATTCATGAAGGCACTCAGGCTTTTCATTAGGCCCACTTTATGCTGTAATTAAGGATTATTCATCTTTTCATTCCTCTTGAGTCAGGGGAGCACTTGCTACAACAGAATCCCATGGAATGAGACCTAGCAATCAGCAAGATCTGCCAACCACAGGACTACTGGGGAAAGAAAAAACTCCCATCCAGAGATTAGGAGTCAAACTGACAACAAACACTACTCAGAGGTATCAATCCTTAGTATCTTTACCTTCCAGCCCATGAAAAATGGTGTGTTGTAGAATTAACTCCAATTTGAAAATAATCCAATGAATTATAAAGCAGGTAGCCTCAATTAGGAAAAAAAATTATTTTTGTACTGTTAGTGTTATGAGTAAGACTTGACATATAAACAGTAGGAGCAAATAAATTAATAACTCATTATTAGCTTCAAAGATTTCAGCATTACATTCAGTGTTTGATAAACGTAATTCTGAATTCTGATAACACGGCTGATTTAGCAGACCTTTAGCTTACATAAAATTACCTAGAATGAAACTTAAAATCTGTCCTGCTCTTGAGCACCTTTGCAAAATTTTGTATTTGCCAGTCATCTGACCACACACAATTTCTCCTCTTCGGCTCTGCCGCTGAGATCTTTGTTCCACTGCTGCCAAAGCCAATGTTGTCTTCAGGGTTCTAGAACCCGTGGAGTTAGCTAGCTACAGAGGGAATGACCAAGACAACCCAGGGGCAGAGCAGGCCAGGGCATGTTCATCCATCATCTCCCACAGCAGTTTATGCTGTTAATGCTGCTGTGGACGGAATGCCAAACTAAAGCAGATATGACAGAAACGCAGGACTGAATTTCTCATACCTAACATATAACAGAAGCATAACTTAAAAGAAGTCTTACAGAAGTTAAATGTCATATTAAAGCCCCCCTGTAGAAAAAAAAAAAACTAAATATGAACTTTTGGATATTTATAGTTTATGAATATAAGCATATAATAAATAAAGAGCTAATAAGAGATCAGAACAGTGTAGGAAACATTTAAATTTGCATGCTATTTTCCCCACCCCAAGAAAGCTTTGAAAGGTTCCCTTAAATTACACTAATAATTGAAGCTTTCTTCATAAAATATCTACTACAAAGTTATTGAATCTCATAGGAATATTAGCTGTGTTCATAAATCTTACACAAAATAGTGTTCACTTAATGAGTCCAACCTTGTATAAAGCTGCCCCATGATTATTACAATAGAATGGACTCCTGTGTTATAATACTTCTAAGTCATTATTTCCTACTACACATAAGTAGTATCTCCGGAAGGAGACGACACAGTAGAGGACTTCCTCTACAGCAATATTAATGAGAGTGTAGCGAAGGTTTAGAATTCATTTCCTAGCCTAGGTCCATTTCACTCTTTGTAGTTCCAGCCTTTGCTTGATTCTATGTAATCCACTTTGTGAGAAATGCGGAGCTCTCGGATAAGTACAAATGCAATGTGTTTTTGGCAAAACGTGTGTTTTAAGAGTCAAATATCTGAGAAAAAAGTTTTTAAAAACTAAAAAATTTGGGCCCGGCGCGGTGGCGCAAGTGGTTAAGGTCCTCACCTTGCACGCCCGGGATCCCATATGGGCGCCGGTTCTAATCCCGGCAGCCCCGCTTCCCATCCAGCTCCCTGCTTGTGGCCTGGGAAAGCAGTCGAGGACGGCCCAAAGCTTTGGGACCCTGCACCCGCGTGGGAGACCCGGAAGAGGCTCCTGGCTTTGGATCGGCATAGCATCGACATGGACTGTTGCGCTCACTTGGGGAGTGAATCATCGGATGGAAGATCTTCCTCTCTGTCTCTCCTCTCTGCATATCCGCCTTTCCAATAATAATAATAATAAATCTTTAAAAAAAAACTAAAAAATTTGTGTTTTTTTATTAGTAAAAAAAATCCATAATTATTTAAATTTTCCTTAACGTATTTTATTTAAGTTGGACAAGCAAATACTTCTGAAAGCTGACTTTGGCTCGTAGCTACCAGTTAAGAGGCTGCATCACCTGTTGAAGTGCTGGTGTTGGCTCTGCTCCTGTGCACCCAGGGAGGCGGTGGTGATGGCTACTCACGGAGCCCCTGCTCCCCAGCCGGGAGCCCTGGACGGGGGGCCACCTCCCTGCTTCAGTCCCACAGTACCTGGGGAACAGGCTAGTAGATGGGAGCTGTCAATTTCTCTTGGTATCACAAATTTAATTTTTTTCTACTTTTAAGTTTGTTTCACCTACTTTCACATTTCCAACTATCATCTAGATGCCACCAATTTCCAAATTGATTTCTCAAGCTCTGACATCTTTTCTGAGTTTCACACAGTGTGAACTTATCAAAACTGAAATGGAGTCATTTATGCCTAACTCTAACAGCATGCAGTTGGGAGAAATAAAGCATTCTCATGCACACGTAGTTATGATAAAAACTCTTAGCTTAGAAGGACTCTGGTAAGACCACCTTGCACAAACACCACTATACCCCGACACAAAGAACTCTAAGCCGACACCAGCTCAGCAATCTCCTACCCAACCTTGAACCGATGCTACCCTTGCTACTCATCCCGGTAGGCAAAGACATATGTGTATGACCCCATTTTACCTCTAAAGACATGTCCTTCCTTATCTCTGTGAACAGGCCTAAGATTCAGACACAGCACATACACTCCGGCTTGCCGTCTTCTAATCATTATCAAGAATCATCAAACTTTAAGAAAGCAACTTCTTTCTCCACGCTGACACCATACAATCCACTGTTGAGTCAGCTTTCCCTTTAGGTGTCTAAAACAGACAATTCAAACTCAATATATTTAAACTGAGTTCATGAGCTCCACCTCTTTCTGCATGTCCTGTCTCACAATTTATTCCTTCTTCAGGCTTTTCTTTTTGAGGAATTAACCACCCACTGAATTGTGCTCAGATAAAAAAATGAGAGTTAACCTTGCAGAGGCAGGGAAAGTCACCTGTAGCTCCCAAAAGCACCACAAATAAATGTATAATTTAAGTAAAAAGGAGACTTAAAGGAGACTTAAGACACCTGGCAAAAGAAAATGTTGAAGAAGTTCTGCTCACTTAATACCAACCCACTCTGGCAGTAACTAATCTAATCCAGCAAGAGACCTGCCTTCTGGAAGAGGGCATCTGTCTCCTCATGAGTGCAGACGCCCACAAACCCCTCTGGGCCCCACCTCCAACACCTCCATGCTGAGGGGCTGAGCATGTGATCTCTTTGCCGCATGAACCGAGGTCTCCATCCAGTGTTCTGCCAGACACAAGGCAGCTCAAGGCAGAGTCCAACAGGAGGCAAGTGTAACCAGCACCTACCCAGCTCATACAACCACAAGCCGAAACAAGTCTCACTTCTATGAATTACTGAGCTTCAGGTATTCTGTTAGAGCAACAGAAAACAGACTTCAGGCATACTACAAATATGACACTTGAGATCTCACATGCCTTCTCTCCTTCCTGCTCCCCAAACAGCCATTTTCCTGAAAATCTCAATCTTAATCAACCGCCATCTACCACTCTTTCAGAACACCTCATCGTTCTCTCATTCATGTCTAGCCAGTCTCAACATTCCATTAATTCCACCTCTCCAACATTTTATAAAGACATTCACTATCAGTTCCTAACATTGGCACTTTAGATTCCTCATGATCTCTCAGCAAAGCTCTTCCAGCAGCTACTTACTAGTTCTTACTGTTTGCAATCTTACTAGTACCCTCACTTCCCTTGTGCACGCTGTCCCCTCTACACAACAAACTTTTCCATTTGCAACTTCTTGTCCTTCAAATCTCATTAAATCACTCAGAAATAATCTGACCTCCTTGTAATCAATCATCCAACACTACCAAAATGAACTAATTCATAAATCTAATCAGGTTTTTCTCAAGGCAAAACATTTTCTATAGTTTTCCACTGGTAAAGAATTTATTTACTCATTTATTCAAAAAAACAGTTTCCCAAATAACTGATAAAACTTTAGGCATTAAGTATTTAGCAGAGAATGTGGGAGAAGGTAGGTAGATATTAAATAATCCCCTACACATATGATGACATTATAGTGAAATACAGCAGTCAGAAAGAACAAAAAGGCAGGGGAGAATGCCTGCAGCTGGAGGTCACATTATTCCTGAGTGATTTAATGAGGTCTGAAGGACAAGACAGAAGTTGCGAATGGAAAAGTATGTTGTGGAGAGGGGACAGCATGCACAAGGGAAGTGAGGGCCAGCAGAACTGGAAGTACGCCTATTTGAGAACTTAGTGAGGAGACAGTGGTCTGGGATGAAATTCACAAGATGAAGTCAGGTTACCAGGCTTGGAAGCTAAGGCATGGGCTAAGTCAATTACACAACTATATTTATTTTTTTTTTTTAAGTTTTTCTCTGATTGCTAGCTGAAAACACAGTATAGCCTGACTAGATCTAACATGTCACTTAACAAGTTATTACACTGGTCCAGGAGAGGCAGGCAGTAACAGGCTGTCTCTCTTAATTTTCACAGAAGTTGTTATTTTAGGTAATATAAGCCTGTATTGTGAAGTCCTCAGGACTGGAGGAGCTCAACAAGCTAACTTTCTGCCTGCAAGTGCCAGCATTTCATATGAATACCAGTTCAGGCCCTGGCTGTTAACACTTCTGATCTGGCTCCCTGTAGCCACATGGCAGACCCAGAAGAAGCTCCTGTTCCTGGCTTCCGATCAGTTCAACTCTGACCATTGTGGCCACCTGGGGCAATGAACCAGAATCAGCATATGGAAGATCTCTCTTCTCTCTCGTCTCTTCTCTTTGTAAATCTGCCTTTCAAATACAATTAAGTAAATCTTAAAAACAAACAAATAGCCGTTCTGAAATTTGGGGCACAGAATGTTTCTGTTCAGAGGTCTTACCACAAAAATAATTTATGATGATCTATTTTAATGTAACTTCTCCCAACCTGACTCAATATTTGAGCTTTCTCATACTATCTTTGCTTGCATATACAAAAAGGCCCATTACAGCTTGCACAGTTGACAATGAACTATCACCTCTGGCTATCTGCTTTCAAACTAGTCAACTCCAGTTAACGACATCATCATTTTTCCAGGCATGAATGTCAAACATATGAGTGTTCATTTTATTTTGATTTTTCCTCTTACATTCTATCTAATCTATAAGTTAAGTAGCACCTTAAATTATATATAATAATATCCTATGCCATTGAACTGAATATAAAATATAGCTATACATTCTAGTCAGGACATAAATCTTAACCCATAAAAAGAATGACTAGAGTACTCAGAAACTATAATTCAGTGCATCAAGGGACTTTGAAAGCAACAGGTGTTATTTCTGGCCTACAAGAACAAATCAGGATTACAGGATTACAGAAGCAGGTTTCTCATTCACCTTAAAATTATTTTCTACCTATTGCTCTAGAAAGGTAGTTAAATTACATCTATTTCACACCTAGGAGGTACTATACAACAATAACAAGTTCAACAATACTACTGACTAATAAATCATCCAACACAGGTAAACTTTAGCCAACCAAATCTAGGGGCTTTCGTGCTATTAATATTTTAAAATTTGGGGCCTGGTGCAATAGTGTAGAGGTTAAAGTCCTCGCCTTGAACGCACGGGGATCCTATATGGCACCAGTTCTAATCCCGGCAGCTCCACTTCCCATCCACCTCCCTGCTTGTGGCCTGGGAAAGCAGTCGAGGATGGCTCCTGGCTTTGGATTGGCTGAGCTCCAGCCATTGCAGCCTCTTGGGGGGTGAACCATTGGATGAAAGATCTTCCTCTCTGTCTCTCCTCTTCTCTGTATATCTGCCTTTCCAATAAAAAAATCAATAAATCTTTAAAATTTTTTTTAAAAATAAGTATGTAAAATACGATAACCAAGTGCCCTTTTAAATGAAGGAAAATAATCAGTATCATTCTAAGTTATTCTTGTTGGCTTAATATTACTAAGATTACTGGGCCAAAATGTACTTAAACTAGCTCAGAAAATTCCCAAATAAGTTAGTATGTCATTTGCCTGAATTCCAAACAGCCTAAAACAGTCGTCCTTGCTCCAATCTTAGCTTTCAGAATGTCCTCCTCTGCCAGACCTTCTCTTTGCTACAGCTAGTATGATGGCAATGAGGCCTGGTAAACAAGCAATCCATCTTCCGGTTACATGGAAGGCTTTTAGAGCGATTCAATGCCATTCCTAATTCAGAAAGTACAGCGGAGGTGGAAACCATTTTCCCCTCTTACTGGTGGCTTTCAAGTTTATCACTGGGGTCTATAACTATATTCCTTACAGTTAAATCTACCAGGAGTTTAATCACCAGGTATGTGGGATATAAAAACTAGTATCACTGGAGCTGTCACTGTAGCACAATGGGTAAAGCTACCATCTGTGACATCATCTCATGAGGCTCACAGTTAGTTTCCATCTGCTCTCCTTCCAAACTAGCTCCCCCACTAATGGCCTGGGAAGAGTAACGCAAGATGGCCAAGTTTTTGGGAATTGCCACCCACGTGGGAAATCAGGAAAAGACTTGTGCCACCTGGCTCCTGGCTTCAGCCTGGTCAGCCCTAACCACTGTGGCCATCAGGAGAATGAATCAGTGGACAGCAGATCTCTCTCTTTCACTTTCTTACTCTGACTTGCAAAACTAAAAATAAGTTAAAAAAAAAAAAAACATTATCATAGCAACTTGTAAAACAGAAATATAACTATGTTCAAATCATTTTCCCTAAGTGTCCAAGGAGGCAATAACTGCTAACCTCACACTTAGAGTTCAAGAGTTTCATGACACACACCTAAAACTTAAATATGGATACAGTTCATATCCATTACAATACTACTGTAGAGAGAGCAAATTTAAAACTGACATGAATGGCCATGGGTAGTAATTAACTTAGCTTGCATAATAAATAATTTGTATAGGTCAAAAAAGTCCTTTGTGCACAATACTACTTGGTATATTTTAATTCACAAAATACTGACTTTAAGACCATCATCAAAATGGAATGCTATGAGAAAGCGACAAGGAGCTCTGTATATGCATTGCATTAAAGCTATGGCTGGATGGGCATAGCGCATCTCCTGTTGCACGCACCCTGTTGCTCATCAAGTGACATGGATCCGAGCTGTTTGTTAACCACAGAAGAAGGAGAATCTGAAACAAAAATGAGATTTCAACTTAAAACTGCACGGCAATGTCATGATCATCTCTAAGCTTTAGAAACAAATACGTAAGATAGGGAACAGAAGTAAGCACTGTGTTATGTTTTCCAAGCAGTGAGTAAGCAGGGCCACGTGCTTAAAATGTTATTTCAGGCAAGCATTTAGCAATTCTGAATGAGAAAATATTCTACTTTCATGCATATACCCTTTTTCAAGTTCATTCAGCACAAGCACAAAGTGTAAGGCAGATATCAGAAATGGGGAAATCTCCAGAAGACCCTTGCCCTTTTCAAGTTGCCTTTCTAGCTCGTCAAGGCTCAGCGTCCCTCAGCTGTGGAGGCTTCCCAGCATGAAATGAGATGTTCCCTCCACTTGGCGGGATATGTGCTGCACTGTGAGCGGAGTGAGGTGCTCAAACCGATTAGACAACAAAAGCGACTTATTAGGAAAATAATCAATGGTGTAACTGCCCTTACAGAAACAAACAGCTTTTAAAACTCTATAGTATATTGTGCACAGAGAGATAATATTGTGAAGGTTTGGGTTTCTTTCTAGAGCACCGGGTGGAAGGTTAAGAGAGGCAAGGAGAAGGCTTCATGTTTCAGCTTTAGATTTTCTACATTAGCTTCAAATAGAATAGCTTTGTTTTTATCTTTTGGAAATGCTGGTTTGCTTTCTAAGAATTTATTTTATAAACGGGTTCCGGTGATTTAAGAATACTGATATAAATGAAAGTAGTACAACTGTCTGGAATTTGAAAGCATTGAGTCTAAACCTGATTCTGAAAATAATCAGCAACATTTTTAGGCTCAAGCTGCTTTTCTTCTTTCTGATCAGCCTAAGGGTCAAGACAGCAGGAATTATAGACTGAGCAATTCTAAGACAAAAACGCCTCCAAAATCTAAAACTTTGAGCACATGACACTACAAGCAGCAAATCCCAAAGCTGCTGTCATGACAGGCTGCAATCCAAACACAGGTATGCTGAAAATACCGGATAAATTACCTCCAGGCCGTGTGTAAGATACTGAGACATCCAACAAATGTTGTGCTTAGGTGTGGGTCTCATCCCAAGGACATTTTATCATATTAATGCAAATGTTCCAAAATCAGAAAACAGGTGGAACCTGACTCACTACTACTCAGCATTTTGGAGCAGAGACACAGAACCTGTGGCCGGAAGTGGCTCCTTCTAATTCCTGCTTAGGTCTCGGTGGGACGTGGTAAAAGAAAAACATGAGTAACAAGTATAATCCTCCCTCAAAAGTAAAATAAATACTTAGCTTCTAATATCCTTTGCTACAGTTCTTAGTAAATTATGTTCATAAAATACTTCTGACTAATCACATTTCAGCTCACAATGGCATTTCATCAAATTCACTCCTCTCAAACAGGTGTTTTCAAGAAACCTGCCTGAACCAGACAGCTAAGTGAAGCTGGGAGTATATCCTAAATTCTGATACACCCTAAATCAACTTTATGTCACTGGACTACTTGTTCTTTTAATACCAACAGTTTTGATAACATTTAATTACCTAATAGCTTTTATTATCCTACTCATCACCTCTTTAGCACAACTTTCAGTTAAACAAATCGATTCCACACTAAAAGTGGATGCAATGGCATCTCAGCCAATTTCCCAATCTGTGCAAGCTTTCCTTTCCTTTCTAAGACTTCCCATTTATTCATCTCAGAGTTAGAGTCAATATTTCCATCAATGTTATTTTTGAAGACTAGATCAGCTGGTCTTTAGAAATAGATTTAGAAAAAACTAACGGAATACAACTCCATGAAATTAATATTGGAAAAACTCCTGAGAAGTAGCTTGAAGAATATTTTCCACCCTTTTATATTTGTAAGCCAATTCATTGCATTTTCATTTATTAAAATCCCTAAATATTATAAGCTCTCCAAGAAACCTTCCCTTTAAATATTTAACTTTTCCAGAACTACCATGAGATATACAAATCTTACTACAGTAAAATGCACCTCATTTTATTTCCAAAAATTTAGAAAGAAACTGAAAATATACAGTGATGTAGGAGCTACTAGTATGCTGTTACTTTTATGAAACTGTACTTTCAAACTCTTGGGGAATTTACAAAAAGAAAGAGCATTAAACAGGAAAGGTTTGCTTTCTCACTTCACAATCTGGCATATATTTTGTCTGTTTTGGGGAAACTGTTGTTCCTTCCCTCTCCCCTTCTTTGGGAAGAAATCCTTCGTGGTCATAGCTTCTAGGGAGCATGCAACTGCTTCTGAAAGGATTATTTTCCTGTCACATGAAGATTTTAGGTGACATGTTTTTAGATCAGTAGGTATTCAAAAACTCAGTGCCCACAACCATCAGATCAGACCTGAGATGTGCTGCAGCGAGTGAAGCTGCCACCTGTGGTGCCAGCATCTCACGTGGTCCCAGCTACACGCTGCTCCACCCGCCGTCCAAGAGACCAGCAGAAGATGGTCCGGGTCTTTGCGCCCCTGCACCCATGTGGGACAGCTGGAAGAAATTTCTGACTCCTGGCTTTGGTCTGTCCCAGTATGTTGTGGTCATTTAGGGAGAGAACCAGTGGATAGAAGCACTCTCTTGCTCTCTCTTTTCTTCTCTCTTTGTAACTCTTTCCAACACAGAAATCTTAAAATAATATTAAGTATCAGAACAGCTAACATGCAAAAAATGAAATTACCAGTTCAGCTGGATGGCTGCAGTTATTTGCCTACTTAAGCTCAGCTCTCTGAATATCTTCTAGAAATCACAAAATAAGATTCTGTATAAATGGTCCAATGATAATTTATTATAAAATATAATGGGGCCCAGGCAGTTTACAGCAAGTATTTTGAAATATAGTATTACTTTTAAAGTAAAGATAAACTTCAAGAAAAAGCACATTCAGTACAAAACTCAGCATGTCTCATGGTCAATTTCCTTTTTATAAATAACAACAACTTCAGCCACACTTCCTTGGTTCAAATGTGCCTTTTCTACTCAATAATAATATAACTCAGGGAAAATTATTTGATTTAGAGTCTCATTGTCTCAACTACAAAATGGGGATAATTTCAGTACCTATCACATAGTATTCTAATGAAAACTTAACAATATTACATATAAACGACTTACATAACACAACTGATATCACTCTTAGCCTGTTTTTCTGAGCTGTGATGTTCAAAGAAAGATAAAGGTATAAAGCTGTTCTGGAAAAATGCAGATTATTACAATGGTTAACACTCTAGAGGACACCCTGTTGTCTTGCTTAGGACCAGCTTAGCCATTCAAGCTGGTAAGGAGTGTCTGCAGAAACAGAATATATCCCACTCGATGCACTATCTACTCTTAAGCACTAAAAACACGGGTCCAACTCTCATTCTGCAAAGTCCTACATAATGTGACTGTCATTCTGGACACTGCGGGGGAATCTGATGCTGCAGGGAGCCTGCTTGCACAGGATCGGGTAAGTGCTGATTTTTTCCAATATGGCTCAGTTTTGAAAAGCCCCTTTTTCAAAAATAATCTCCAATGTCTTATACCCTTTGTGGGTACAAAAGTTTCTTTCTTTCTTTCTTGCCAATTGGCAAAACCGTGCCATAAAGTGAAAAAACAGTTCCTACCTGACCCTCTCTATGCTGGCTCCATGCTCCAGTGGGGCTCTGTGGTGATGGGGGGGGGCCAGTACCAGCAGACTCCACAGGGTGCTGTCACTCTGAGCAGGAGCCAGCAACCCATGACTTCTGGGGACCTGAAATGGAAAAAAAGTTGGGCTTAAAATCAGCCAGCTATATGCTGAATGTCTTTGCCATAGCATTTTAGGGAATTTATTGATAAACGTACATTCAGCTCTTTCAAAACTCTGAATGTTATCAACCTTACATGGCTTTAAGGGCATTCTGAAGTAGTAAATGAAACATAAGTAAGAATATACTATGTATACTGCTTTCTGTAATATAAAAAATGATACATACACAGTACTGGCTCACCCAGGCATTTACTATAAATCTTGGCAGATTTATTTAAAGAATTGGGAAACTGAGGCTTAAAGTAATCAAAAAATAACCTCTTCAAGAGTATCTAGCCATAGGCCCAAGGCTGACGTACTGCAGTGATGTGATGAAAGTAAATTTAACACCTTGTAGAGGAGAAAAAAAATCCTAAAAGACTATTACAAGTTGTAATGTATTTCCAAAAATTATTAAAAAAAAGTTATGACATATTTCCTTGAAGTCTATAAAGATATACTTGGCAACAGTTAAATACAAAAGGGGTGAAAGTGTGGTATGGTAAATTAAGCAGCTGCTTGCGATATCCACATCCCATATTAAAGCCCCAAGTCGGCTCCTGGCTCCTCCGCTCTAATCCGGCTCCATGCTACTGCATCCTGAGGTAGCAAAGGTGGCTCCAATGCGTGGGTATCTGTCACCAACATGGGAAATGTAACCAGCGCTGCGGGCTCTCAGTTTCATCCTGGCCTGGTTCTGGTCATTTCAGGCACTTAGGAAGTCAGCAGACAGAAGACTGCCTCTCTTTCTTCTACTCTGCTTTTCATGTAGATAAGGTAAATACATTTTTTTTTAATGAAGCATCTCACTGTGGTTTTTTTTTTTTTTTTGAATGAGTAAGGTAAAAAATCCATAAAGCCAATATAATCTGAGTTTGAACAACTATATGTGGTTCTGAAGATAATCATTTATTTCTAACAGATTGCAATTTTTTAAAGCTCAACAAGGATTCAGACTCCCAAAGCAACTAGCGACTAGCTTTGGGGGTGACATGAGTCAGCAAGCAGGTGGACTACTACTCGTTATCTTCCTTCATGCTGAAATGTGAACAGCATCACTCTCAAATATTCTGTGTTAGAATTTTCGCAAAAGAGTAATGAAAACGTTCAAAACAAGGGTTGGGGAAGAAAAACCATTGTCTCAACATCTTTTAATATCTATTTTACATAGTTAGTTTTAAACTGCAATTTGAAACCAAGAGTGATATCATCTCAGATGGTGCTCTAGAGCGATGTTTTAGTTTCAACTGCCAAGAAACACTGGCACTGGACAGACAACGTCCCATCCGGGAGTATCATTAACCGCATCAACCTTCTTCCCGTCTGATATCACAGCAGGCAGATTATTTCTGCAGAAGGGTTCAATCACACTACTCTACAGAAATCAGGGACTATCAATTCATCTTAACACGTTTAAGATTTGTGTGAAAGCAGTACTGTGGTGTGGCAAGCAAAGCTGTTGCTTGAGGCACAGCATTCCATCAGGGTGCTGGTTTGAGTTCCAGCTACTCCACTTCCCACGCGGATCTGTGCTAACACGCCCTAGGAAAGTACTGAGTGTCTGCACAGATGCAGGAGACTCCTGCTTTCAGATCACAGAAGCTCCTGGCTTCAGAGCAGCCCAGCTCAGGCCACTGTGGCCATTTAGGAAGTCAACAGGGACGGAAGACCTCTCCCATCACTCTGTATAACTATGCTTTTCAAATAAATATATAAATCTTTACCTTTTTTTATCAGTCCTACATTTTCAAAGGAAAATGTTTCCCAGACAATGCTAAATTTAACTTTGTTAGTTTACAAACAGTAGTATCTCCTACAAATAGTTAAAATCCAGAAATACTTTAGTAGATGGGGAGATAATTTAAAAATCACTTTTTGCAGTATGGTTTACAGCTATTCCACATTTTTCCATGAAAATACTAAAATCTAAAATCCTAATTGTGGTATTTACTTGACGCTATAACTGACTTTCAAGTAAAATAAATATATATATATATATATTTTAAACAGAAGTAGTACTAGCAAATGAACACAGTCTGGTTGGGACTTCACATGTTAACAGAGGAAGATATAGCTAAAGTACCTCACCTTGCAGGTGGAAGGGGCATCATTCTTTGAGTGTCAACACTGGCATTTCTAATGACTGTTTTACACAGGCAGTCTCAGAGGTTCAAGAATGTTTTTAGTAACAAACAAACAACAAAAAAAGATAATTCTTAGTTTTCCACCCACTCAACTTCAGTATTTTTTAAATGCTGATGTACTGTGCTGGAATTGTGGCACGACAGATTAGTAAAGCCACCTCCTTTGACACCAGCAACCCATATGCACACAAGTTCAGCTCCCAACTGCTGCCCCACGGCTGATCCAGCTCCCTGTGAGTGTGCCTGGGAAAGCAGGGGAAGATGGCCCGAGTACCTGGGCCCCTCTTACTCACGAGGGAGACCCAGAGAATGGTTTCTGATTCCTGGTTTTGGCCTAACCCACTTCACAGCTATTGCAATGATCTGGGGAGTGAACCAGTCAACGGAAGATCTTTCCCTCTACCACTATACTATTTGTAACTTTATTTTTCAAATGAATAATATCTTTAAAAATACTGATTCAGAGACGCTTTATTTTCCTTTTTATTGGTGTTTAGGTCTGTTTTTGTTTTCAAAGTACTTTGGTTAGCATTATACATAACACAAAATCATAGATTGTTTCATTAAGAAACATCATAATAATCTGATCAAATTTTCTGGTTGTTAGTTTTAAGCACAGAAAAATGTATTTCCCCACAGAAAAAGAAGAAATCAGACGCCTTGCTTGGCTGTGTTTCCTCCACTAAAATCACATTCATGATCTGCCTCAGATATCATAACTATAATCCAGTGTTTTACATTTATTTTATTTTGTCACAGCATTTACTACAAACAACAGATTGGTGAAGGGGCCTTCCAGTTCTGTCAAGTTCTAGCAGACTACCCTCAAATAATTGATAGTTCTCAATGTAAATAATGCCCAAGTCCCTTACTCATTTCAGGGGCAGAATTCTACATTCATTGGTGTGAGACCCTCTTGACACATTTCCACTCCTAAATACAAGGTTTACACGCCTACCATAATACCTAAACTATAGGATTTACAGTACCTAATCTCCATCTTGAAATAACTAAGCTGGCACATTATTTTGGGTTTTGCTGTGTTCATTTTTCTCAACAAATTTATATTGAGTATCATGAGCTTTCTGGTCATAAAAGAACAGGGTCATTAAAATGCTCAATAAAAAGATAAAAGCACAAATTTTTACTGTTTGATCACAATGTGATCACATCAGGACAGGACCATGAGTACTTCATCTGTCCTACATATAAGACAGCTGATTAGGCAGAGAGTAAGAAGGGGCTGGCACAGTGGCACAGCAGGTAAATCTTCTGCCTGAGAAACTGGCATTCCACTTGGGTGCCAATTGTGATCCAGATCTCTGCTAACACACTTGAGAAACCAGTGGAAGATGGTCCAAGTGCTTCGCCCCTGCATCCATGAGACCTGGAAGCAGCTCCTGGGTCCTGGCTTTAGCCTGGTCCCTGCCCCAAGCTGTAGCCATCTTGGGATGTAAGCCAACTGATGGGCGGTCTCGTGCTCGCTCTCTCTCTCTCTGTAACTTTGCCTTTCAACAGTAACTCTAAAAGATAGTGACATTTTTCAAATGTTGACAGAGGAAGAATTAAGTTGGAACAGTAATATGCCCAAATGCTAGACTACAAGATTCATATAGGCATATTGGTTAACTAGTGAATAACAATAATGATAATAACAACAATAAACAGCTAGCACCCATAAGATACAGATCTATTTAAACATTAAGGAAATGTGAATAACAGTATGCATGTAGGCTCTAGCATCACTACAGGACTACGAAAAACTATTTTATTTTGGGCAGGCAATTTGGCATACAAGTAAAAGGTCAGCTGAAATGGCCCTAACCCACTATGAGCCCTGATTTAAGCTCCAGGTCCAGTTCCTGCTTCTAGGCAGCCAGTGGGTGGTGGCTTAGTAAGTGGAACCCTGGCCCTGACACCCATTAGCATACATGAGGGTGGGTACTTGGCCTCTGGGCACCCCTAGCATCAGCAGCGTTTTAGGAGTGAACCAGCAAACCGTAGCAGGTACCTTCTTCTCTCCCCACTCCTACCTGAATCCAGTAAGCAGGGATAGGGAAGCGGACAGAGGATGGGGTTTCTAGCTCCTCCCTTCAGCACAGACCCAGCTGTTGCGGTCAGCTGAGGACTAAACTAGCAGATGGAGAGCCCTCTCTAGCTCACTCACTGTTATTCTGACTCTCCAAGATACACATATATATTAAGACTAATATGTTGGCTATAGCAATAGTAAATGTGTATTGAAGTAAGTTTTTTTTAAAAACCATCCCATATATTCATCACTCTGGGAAATGCTACTACCATTTGACCCTCTAAGAGCTAGGCTCAACAACCATCATGTGCAAGGAAGGGTGGCGGAAGCTGCAAGCACATTAGCTTTCTGTTTCCAAGGGGGAAAGGGAAGCTTATTGCACAGCAGCAGTATTAAAGAGCAGTTCTAGCAGCTGCTTAAGGACGCTTGGCAGTAACAACCTGCAGCATGAGGGTCGTGGGGAGAGCCCTCACACGGAGCCTGACCGGGAGGAGAAGCCTGCTCCTGGGCCTGGGCAGCCAGCTCCTGCTGCCTCTGCTGCTCAGCCTTCTTAAGCCTCAGTTGTTGCAGGCGCTTACGGAGCAAAGCTATCTCAGGCCCCCTTAAAAACTCTGACACAAATAGGGAAAGAAAGGTGAGAAAGACAGTGAGAAAACAGAAAGGAACAAGCATGTGATAACACATTAAAGAGAGGAAAGATACGAATAAAACATGTCTCATTAGATTTTACTGAAAATTACCAAAAGAAATCTTAGCTTGACCAGTAAAACATAAACTACATGTATACATCCTTAAACTATGATGAATCAAATATAAAAATTTCTCAAGGAATGTTTTAGCAAACAGGATAAAAATAAAGTCCTGTATAAGCAAAATTTAAAGTCAACATTTCGTCACTAAATTAACCATTTTTTAAAGCAAAATGATAGCAAGGAAAAACAAATGTTGAAAACATCACCGAAATATTCTAACCTATATAGAGAACTTTTAAGCTACCTCACTAATTCCAATCAATAATTACTAAAATTGCTAAAACGATGAGGTTATTATACATTTAGACGTATCTTAGAATGTATTAGAGCTCCTTAAAAGCTGTCAAGTTACACATTCTTCAGATAAATGTCACTTTTGATGTTAGAATTGTCATTTATATTTTAAACTGAAAAAAAATTACATAATCAATATCACATCTGAAGAAGTGATTAGAGACCTGTGATGTAGCGCAACAGGCTAAGTAACCATTTGCAGTGTTGGTATCCCATTTAACAATGTGGATTCCAGCCTTGGCTTCTGCTCCAGTTTTCTGCAAATGTGCCTGGAAGGCCGCAAAAAAACAAACAAACAACAAAAAACCACATGGCCCAAGTATTGAGGCCCTGTCACCACCTGGGAGACCAGCACGGCGTCCCTGCCTCCTAGTTTGGCCTGGCTTAGTCCTGGCTCTGTGGCTAATGAGCCAGCAGTGAAAGTTCTCTCTTCCTCTCCATCAATCTGCCTTTCAAATAAATAAGTCATTACAAAAAAGGTCACAGGTGTTTCTGAAAAGAATTAAAAATAATAAGAAACCCTGCAAGAAGCTATTGTTTCATTGTGTCCTATGGAGGAAAACTGCGCAAGTAAGAGAGACAGTAGAAGCAACAGTTGTTATACCTCCGGGCCATGAAGGTGAGAACCACACGGCTATCTGAAGGCAAACACTACCAGCTGAGGGAAGAACAAGTGTAACTGTTCAAGCAGGATGTGCATTAGCACATCAAATAGATTTCCAAGAAAAAGGAGGCACAACTCATTGATAGCTTGGATGTAAAGTGATTCCACTGATTCTGGGTCAGGTCAAAGAAAAAACAGTAGACATTTGTTGCTATGGCAAAAAATGAAGGAAAAACAAGTAGCAAATGGCGTGAAGCAAAGAATCGATAGGCATTCTTGTGGAGAAATTAAGTAGGGACATGGGTAAAAGAGCATAGAATTCAGAGCAATAAATGTGGATGTCACTTGAAGACTCCTAAAGATGAATCAATGACAGAGAAGAGGTCTAACAGCTACTTAACATTTAAGAGGAGAAAAAAACCTCCGGAAAGTATAAGAGGGTCTTGGAGAAGTACGTCGTGAACAGAGTTCCACAGGCTAAGTAATGAGAGTGAGTCAAGAAGGCTGGCAGACAGAGTTCTCTTGAATGCTGCTCAAACACTGCCAGGTAACAAACAGCTCTAGTCACAGATCACGCGCCACTGCAAGTTACTGACACCTGGACAGGAATTCTGTGAAACGTCAGAGACCAAACCCAACTGCAATAAGTGCAAAAGAAGGGCAGGTGTTGAAATAGACACACAGCACAGATATTCTGCAGGAGTCTTGCTGTTGGTGCTGAACAGAGAAACTGGAGACGGTTGTGGGGGGCGAAGGGCCAAAGGAGGTGTGTGTGCTTCAGTTGGTGGGGAAATACGCAAACTCACCATCTCATGGAGAATGTTTCATTGCGGGTGGAGGGGGAGGGATCGTGCTTGAAAAGAAACAGTTAACTGCAGAAAAGATGTCCTTGAATGGACCAAGGAAGAAAGATTAGATGACAGGAGGAACTGGTTTTGGTTCAACTATAAACAAAGGACAGGCAAAGAATATGGGCAGAGAGGTCAACAATTGTAGATTTGGGTTAGAAATACATAAAATGTATCTCAGGAACATCAGCAGTAAATTAGCAAAACTCCCAAATAATCTTGGCTTTTCATATATAGATTGTGAAGGCATAAGATGTGCTGTACTATTTTGGGAATCGGTGATGTCAGAGACAGGTATAAACTCTTGCTACTGTGATCCCTGGTTGTAAGGAATTTGATTGAATTAGCAATTGGTGGTTAAGATTTACTATGTGTTGGGGCCCGGCGTGATAGCGTAATGATTAAGGTCCTCGCATTGAACTTGCCAGGATCCCATATGGGCGATGCTTCTGAACCCGGCAGCTCCACTTCCCATCCAGCTCCCTGCTTGTGGCCTGGGAAAGCCTTGGGACCCTGCACCTGTGTGGGAGAACCAGAAAGAAGTTCCTGACTTCTGGTTTCAGATCGGTGCAGCTCCAGCCCTTGCGGCCACGTAGGGAATGAATCATTGGACGGATCTTCCTCTCTGTATTCTCTGCCTTTCCAATAAAATAAATAAGTCTTAAAAAAAAAAAAAAAGATTTACTATGTGACCCAAGCAGCACCACAATCTCTCGTACGTGATTACTTCCTGAAAACCTTCCAGCATCGAGTCAAGTGGCGTTCACGGACAGCAATGCTCGACAGCACGGTGCCTGACACCTTCTCTGCAGCCAGCGCAGCAGCAGTGCTTGTGGCAACACGAAGCGCTGGTACACAGCCATAAGGTCCACTGTTCTATACATCTACCATAAAAATACATCACGTTCAATGTTGCTTTAAAAAAAGAGCAACAGTATAAAAAATTCACCCAGTTTCATTAAAATTTCTAGCTCTCTATTCCAAATGTACCCAGAGATATTCTATGTGACCCTGAGCCCTTTTTCTAGAAACACTTAGTGACTTTAGATGTATATATACAGTGATGTTTAGAACTTAGAAAAAATAAGATGTCGTTATAAAATTATTATGAACCATCTATTCAATGTTGCCAGTGTTTTTCAAAGAAAAATATACCTCGTTTAAAGGTTAATTCAATGATGATGTTTTCAACTTAATTTAAAAAGGGAGGGGGGGGGAAGAAGGCCAGGAAAACACCTTAACACATAATTAACTAGGAAAGGCAACTATAGAATTTGGCCTCTAATCAAACATACCAGATTAAAAACCTATCCTGCTAACAGCTTGCAGCTATACACACTCTTTGGAAATGCATATACATATTGTTCATAAGTGTGAGTAAATTTGGAAAAGCAGGTCTTGCTAACTTAAGCCAAATTGAAAAATGTAAACACAGTGGATACAATGAGCTGAATTTTGAAAGCAATACATACAACAGAGTAGCAGGAAATTTGTTCTTCCACCCCCTGAAACTATTAGCCCTACTCTTGTGCTCTCTGAAAAGACTGCACTATTTTAACAGCTTAATTGTTCTGTAGTAGAATAATAAAAACAGCTCATGTTGACACTACGAAGGTCTAATTAGTTCTAACTTCACATTCTAATTCTACAATACATAGGGGCTTCCTCCTGGACACTAGATTTGGAAGTACTTTGTCTATCTTCTACAAATCTGTCATTCTTTATATTTCTTGTCCTCATGATCTCTGTGCATTTTGTTTTGTCTTAAAACTTGTCAATCCTTCACTGATTTTCACTGATTCCAGGAAGAGTAATGAGTTATAAACAATTCAAAGTAAAAGGAAAATTAGAGGAAGACAAGTGTTGGACCTAGACATTAAGACATGGCGTTGAGATGCCCACATCCCTGTGAGGAGGAGTGCCTGGGCTGGAACATGAGCCCTTCTTCTGAGCTCAAGCACTTGGGTCCTGGGGGCCCTCAGGGGAGATCTGAATGGAGTTCTTCGGTTCCGCTTGGATTTGGCTCAGTCCTGGTGCTATATGCATTTGGACAAATGACCAGCTGATGGGAGCCCTCTGTCTCTTTCTCAAATTTACACAGCTAAATAAACAAGGCAAATTAAACGTTTTTATGAGTTCTTTACAAGAAACATTGCTACACGTAGATTTCAAAATAGAAGAAAAGATTGCCTATGGGATTTATAAAAGATCTTTTTTGAGTGGCATTTGAAATAAGAGCCAAGAAAAAAGGAGTTGGCTATGTAACAAACTGGGGAAGGTACAAGAATGATAACAAACGCTCATAAAAAGAAGGGAGAGGGAAGTAGAAGACAGCCCCCCTCCCCAAAAATGGTGAGAAAAAACATGCAAAAGATACATGGCATATTAAAATGACTGAGAGGAAACCAGCACACCTGGAATGTAATGACCAACAGAGACTGAGAAAGGAGGAGATGAGGTTAGAGAAGGGGGAAAGGGCCAGGCATGCTGGTGCATACGGTTTTTTTCTTTTCTAACTGTATTTCTAAATAAGACTAGAAAACTCGGAAGGGCTTCACCCAACAAAGTTACATGATTTGAATGATCAAAACACTCATTTTGCCTTCTACTTGAAGAATAAATTACAGGGGAACAAGTACAGCTGAAGGATTAAGGAAGAGACAAGAAATGATGGTGAGATGGAAAGAAGCAGGCTACCGTTTAGACACAAACCAGTAAGACTTAGAGATGACTCTGGCCTAAGAGGTGCGGGAAAGAGAGGGATCAGGAAAAATGCCCAGGTAATCAGAGTAAGCAAGTGAATGAGTAACACCATCCCTTAAGTCATAAAAGGACCCAGATAAACAGATTAACGCACAGAAAGGGCAGGAGGCTAAATTAAATTTTAACTTGGACATCTTAAGGGAGATATAAAGGAAACCAAACAAAAATATTCAAATAGCAATTGAATACAGAAATCTGGGATTTAGGGTAAAAGATAAGATTGTATATATTTAGGGGTCATGAATTTAAGAAGAGATTCTAAAAGCTATGGGCAACTGAAAAAATTCCTCAGGGACGAGACTCTTGTAGGTAAGACACCCAGAACTAAAGCATTTAACTGTAATACTTAGAAGTATAATGATTGGGCCCGGCAGCAAGGCCTAGTGGCTAAAGTCCTCGCCTTGAACGCGCCCGGGATCCCATTGGGCGCAGGTTCTAATCCTGGCAGCTCCACTTCCCATCCAGCTCCCTGCTTGTGGCCTGGGAAAGCAGTCGAGGATGGCCCAAAGCTTTGGGACCCTGCATATGTGTGGGAGACCTGGAAGAAGTTCCTGGATCCTGGCTTCAGATTGGCATAGCATCGGCCGTTGCACTCACTTGGGGAGTGAATCATTTGACGGAAGATCTTCCTGTCTGTCTCTCCTCCTCTCTGTATATCTGACTTTCCAATAAATAAATAAATCTTTAAAAAAAAATTTATAATGACTGCTGAAAACCAGCCAACATTGAAGGAAAAAAATGTTTTAAGAGAGGCAGAAAATGTTAAATGTAATTGGGTTTAAAAAAAAATGTAATAAAAGAACAAATTAAAATTAAGTCTCTAAATTTGGCAAGATGGAAATCACTGGTGACTCTTGTAAGTTTCAAGGGAAAAGAGGTTTAAATGGTAGATTGGGATTGGTCAAAAATAAATTTAAGATGACACAAGTATAGACAACATAAGCATGGAATTATTTTTGACAATGCTAACCACACCAAAAGAACAGAAAAAATAAGACAGTAGCCGGAGTGGAACATGGGATAATTAAGATTTTTTTTTTTAACAAAAGGAAATAGTCAAAAGCAATAGTTTCACAGAAAATGCAATGACAATGACACTGGAAAGGGATGGGAACTGAACTGGCTAGTTTTTGATAGGAGCAGATACATTTCTTCCAGAATGTGTTTCTGTTTCTATCTCAGACATTGTAGGAGTAAGGATGCTGGAAAACCGAGAGTCTACAGTAGGAAAATGAATGCTTTGCTTTTCACTGTGCACCAGGGGTTAGCAGCTAAGAGCAGGGTACAGAAAAGGAAAGTTTTAATGTTCTAAAGCCTTGAAAGAGTAGAGGGGACCATTTTGCACGGCTGGACAGCAGCATTACTGAAAGGCTGCTCTGACTCACGGTGTTGAGAACCCACGGAAACTCGGGTTCATGTCTTTCTTGACTCGGGGACTCAGTTGTAATCTAAGAAATGGCAGGCTTAGATTCAACCATAGATGGGGTCCTGCCTGGCAAGTTTTCACACGCCCATCATCTATTTCCTTCCAGCCAATAAGAAGGACTGAGGCAAGACAAGGAATATAAAGGAAAGGCATAAGCAATTTGAAGGGATATCCAAAGCAAGGCAAGAATATACAAACATTTTACTTTCTGCCTCTATGCAGGACAATAATAATTAAGGCTCCAGGTGAAACTCGCACTTATTATAGTCACCCAACGAACAATTCTCACTTTATACAAATTCATCTGCATTTAGGGACATGGTAAGTACAAAAGAGACTGGAAAAAAAAAAATAACCAAACAAAGCAAGAAACATTATGACCTTACTGAGGAACTGCAGGGTTCTCAGATCATGAAAAGGCTACTGTCAGAACAGTTACAGACATCACATTTAGATTATTACACCTAACACCAAATCATTTTCCTCAGTACCAATCATATGGAGTAAAACTGAAATATTCCAATTAGTGCTAGATTAATTAGCCAAGTTTTTAATAATTTTTTCACTTAAAAATCTCTGAAAAATTTGTGGGCAAAGGTGTCAAGAATGTTAAACTAATGATTCATGTTATCATTATAATTATTTTATCTATTTCAATGTTTCAAATAACTTTAACAATGAATATCTGTATTAAACATTGAATGCATCAATGTGAAACAGTATTACATATACTAAATATAGGCATATTGTGCTTAAGAAACCAATGAAATTAACTATCAGTGGAGCTTGCAGATGGGCTATATAAAGTTTGTTTGTTTCTTTTAACAAGTTTTCCTGAAAAAAATCTCCAAGAATATTTTAGAGAATATATGTCACATTAAAAATTACAGGGCCCACGTGATAGACTAGTGGCTAAAGCCTCACCCTGCATCCGCCAGGATCCCATACGGGTGCCAGATCATCTCTTGATTGCTTCACTTCCCATCCGGCTCCCTGGTAAAAGCCTGGGAAAGCAGTAGAAGACAGCCCAAAGCCTTGGGACCCTGCACCTGAGGGAGACTTGGAAGAAGCTCCTGGCTCCTGCCTTTGGATTGACTCAGCTCTGGCCATTGTAGCCACTTGAGGAGTGAACCAGCAGATGGAAGATTCTCTTTTCCCCTCCCTTTCTCTGTAAATCTGACTTTCAATAAAAAGAAATATATCTTCAGGGCCCCGTGCGATGCCCTAGTGGCTAAAGTCCTTGCTTTGCATACACCGGGATTTCATATGGATGCTGGTTCTAATCCTGGCAGCCCTGCTCCCCATCTAGCTCCCTGCTTGTGGCCTGGGAAGCCAGCTGAGGACAGCCCAAAGCCTTAGGACCCTGCACCCACATGGGAGACCCGGAAGAGGCTCCTGGCTCCTGGTTTGGACTGGCTCAGCTCCAGGCATTGCAGTCACTTGGGGAGTAAATCATTGGATGGAAGATCTTCCTCTCTGTCTCTCTTCCTTTCCGTATATCTGACTTTCCAATAAAAATAAATAAATCTAAAAGTATTTTTTAAATGTGTGATTCTTCAAAAAATAAAGAAAGAAATACATTTTCAAAAAAATTCTTGCTTTTAATGCCCAACGCAATGGGCACATGGGCACCCAGTGTGTGTCCTGGGTGCTCCACTTTCCATCCAGCTCCCTGCTTGTGGTTTGGGAAGCAGTAGAAGATGGCTCAAGGCTTTGGGACCCTGTATCCATGTGGAACACCCAGAAGAAGCTCCTTGCTCCTGGTTTTGGATCAGCTCTACTCTGGCGATAGTGGCAAATAAAAATAAATCAATCTTTGGGAAAAAATAGTTTCTTGTTTTTACCAATATTGCTTGCTTTGAAAAGCAATCTTTTAACTGTTTCTGTCAGTACTTACTGGAGCTAGAAGCGCTGTACTGATTCTAACATGGAAATCTGACTTTGTGTCATTACTCATCACTCTGAGTAAACTGCACAGAGTGTTAACAGTGTACATGCTTGACTCAAGCTCCTATCTTAAAGACATTGAAAATGAACTATCTATTTAACAAAATATACTAATCAAAGAGCACTTAATTTAAACGACTACATATCTGGTGATCTGGTTAGAATCCAAAAAAGTGACAGTCTGGCAACTAAGCTTTTAAGTATTTTTAATAGGCTTTAAGCTTGAGCCTGCCAGCTATATTTCTCATTATTATTTTTGATTCTGTATTAACTAAATGCTTCTTTAGAAGAACCTAAAAAAATGAATACCTACATTAAGGAAGAGAGTACACTATAGATGTCTATGAAAAATTACTAATATAAATATTAGTATATTCCATATTTGAGAGAACAAATTGAACAAGAGAAGCTAATATTGACAGGAAAGTGCTATTTTAACAGAATTTAAGAGTTTTTTTTTTGTTTGTTTTCATTAGCTTCAAGTACCAAGAGGAAAAGGATTTGTTAAATAATTCTTTTTTCATGTCAGTAGTGAAGAAATAATTCTTCTGATATGGTGTACATATTTTTGACAGAGGTCAACTCCATCATATAGAACATATTAAAAGTATTTTGTAATTTGAAGAAAACTACGAATACAAAGATGCTAATAATAGTAATCACTATCAGGAATACAGACACACAATAGAATTTAGAAAGATTTCTGGTCTACAATGGTGTTTAAAATGATCTGTAAGACAGGTGTATTAGACTATCATAACACTATCTGTATTTGCAAAAGAATTATTTTACATTGTCGCTATTTGTTAAAAGTCATGCAAGTTAGGCACACTGGAAGTTGGTGTTTAAAACAGTGAGCTACATGTTCACATATTACATGTCATTATCCAGGAAGTTTACGTGTGATTCAGTAGCTTTCAAAATACCCTGTAAGAAAGTTCTCATGGTCATCAAATGACAAGAGTGTTCATAAAGGGAAACATCCTCACCAGACTGACGATGTGTTTGGCGGCCAGATGCCTCAACAGCATGTCTCTGCTCGGTATCTGGTGACGATGTAAAGTGCTGGCTTTCTGTGGGAGATGGGGTCACAAGCGCCTGAGCTGAGGCAGCGGAGGACGGAGAAGCTTGAAGGAACTGATTCGCCGGAGCATCTACATCCATTGCAGTTTCACCCAGTTCCAAATCAGAACTTGATGGGCCAGCAGGAACAGCTGAAACATCTGACTGACTCATTCCACCTTTAAGAAAATACATGTTAATGCAAATTTGAACTTTAACCATCTTACAAAACCAAATATTCTAAAGCGGTGTTTTCGGGGTGCAAACACAGCCATATAGAAATAACTAGAGGATATCAATAACATACACTGGTGGTTTGTTCCATTAAACAAAAGAAGCTAAACAAAAGGAGTAAAAATACATCTATAACCATTCTTCCTAGAACAATCTCTCCAATTACATAAAAATCATTTATAGAATTCTGCTTACTTCTATTCTCACATGCTCATAATGCACAAATAAAAGGATTAAAATGGAAATCTCAGAGTTTTTCTCTTTTTTGAAGACAGGCTATGTCTAGTGGAATCAGAAGGGACAAGTTATCCAACACTTTCTATCCTCTAGTGCTTCATACAACACAATAGAAACCTGGCAGCACAAAAGTGGCTCCATTCAGGTGACATAAATAGAACTGGCTTCAACACATAGTTTTTGCCAGCTTTCTGACAGCTTTAATAAGAAAAATTACCTCTGGGTCGAGATCTTCCTCGGCCTCTATTGCTTTGTGCAACTTCGCTTGCTTCTTCAAACCATCTTGATAACATGTCAGACATTCTCTGCATCAACGACACATTGGGACTTTGCTCTCCTATTATAAAACGTAAGTTTCATTGGTGACTTTAGTCATTAAGATCTATCATTAATGTGAATGCTCAGATTTAAAATGCTTCAAAACTAAAGCACTAACAAGTAGCATTGCTTAAATAAATTATATGAATGTATATAAACACCTCCGCCCCGCATCATTTTTTGTAATAAGTGCTTACATGACTGATAATTTATATGTTATTTGTGCAAGAAATATGTTCATGTGTCCTCATCTTTGCCTATTGTACGACTTTCCACACTTTCCCCAATTTACCTCTTTAGTTCTAACTGTGACCATCTAGGAAGGGTTAATGAATAAATTAAAATAAAAGTGTTCTTTCTCATTAAATCAACACGATCAAAGAAAAACACAAAATAGGGCCCGGCGCGGTGGCGCAAGTGGTTAAAGGTCCTCGCCTTGCACGCCCGGGAGCCCATATGGGCGCCGGTTCTAATCCCGGCAGCCCCGCTTCCCTTCCAGCTCCCTGCTTGTGGCCTGGGAAAGCAGTCGAGGACGGCCCAAAGCTTTGGGACCCTGCACCCGTGTGGGAGACCCGGAAGAGGCTCCTGGCTTCGGATCGGCATAGCATCGGCCCGTTGCGCTCACTTGGGGAGTGAATCATCGGACAGAAGATCTTCCTCTCTGTCTCTCCTCTCTGTATATCCGCCTTTCCAATCAAAAAACATAATAAAAATAAATCTTTAAAAAAAAAAAAAAAAGAAAAGAAAAACACAAAATAGCCTTAGATTTTTGGATGAATTCCCCTTAAAATGAATTGTTCTAACCTCATTTATCTATGTAAGCCAAGTTCTGGTTTTTGAGATTAAATGACACCAGAAAGAATTTCATTTTTTCTCTCTCTCCTTTTTTTCCCTTCAGATAAAGGAATTTTTTCCCTAAAGACATTTTAAATTAGAAATAAGCAGTCAAATTTAAAATCTGAAAACTCTATATTTTATAATCAAATAATTCAAAGTGGAAATCCTTTCTTTCAATATTTCTGTAGAATCAGAATTTATCTTAGACTTTGTTGCCTTTATATAATGCAGCTTAATATTTTAAGTACATATTATGAAAAATACCAATGATAACATAATAGGGAATATGTTTTTGACCAAAAGAGCTTTCAGACTCATTGGATCAACAATTTTAGCTACAAGCCCAGTCAGTAAAATACAATCAGATGAACTCTATTGTAAAATGTGCCATCTTAAAGCTCCCAAGGCAATTTTTTATAGTTGTCAATTGCACTTTAAAGGAAATACTTTTTCATAAGCTGTTACAAAACTTTAGCATTCCTTTCTCTTTACATCTAATAAAAAGGCAAAAGTCAACAAGTTTGATAATACCGAATAGTCCACAGAGGGCAGTGGGTATTTTTATCCTTTCAGTGAGAATGCAAATAATTTTATCCTTTTCCAGCAATAATGTGATGACTATCGAGCCCAGCAGGGCACATGCAGCCTGTGGCTAAGAGTGGCTGCGTCTGACTTCCAGCACTAGCTCTTGTTTCGAGCTGCCCTTCCATGCAGACTCCGAGAGGTGACAAATGATGGCTCAAGTGGCTAAGCTTCTGCCACCCTTCTGAGAGTCCTACCCTGGCTCCTGGTTCTAGTCCCAGCCACCGCAGGTATTTAGGAAGTGAACAAACAGAAGGGAGTCCTCTCTTTCTCTCTATCCAAAAAGAAAAAAAGGAAAAAGAAAGCTTACTTCTGCAGCGACTGTCACTCCACCTGTAGAAATGTATGCTGAGACACATTTGCACAAGTATACCAAAGGACATGTGTAAGAATGTTCACCAATATCATTTACAATGGGGAAAAAATTGGAAACATTAAAATCATTATTTTTAATGATTTTTAATGATTATTTTAATTTTGTCACACACCAAAAGAAGCTGACAAAAATAGAGTTACCATCTCGTTCTCTTTCACTCTCAGGCCTCGCTCTGGGTCCAGTATCTGACCAATCGCCACGAAGTCTCAAACGCTTAACAGGAGGCTGTCGCAACTAAGGACAAGGATAGGTACATTACACAGAGATCAGAAACAAAAGCATTTGCTCTCAACTCCTAAAACAAGTACTTCAGCACCAGTATCCCATTTCAGAATGTCTGCTTGAAGTCCTGGTTGTTCCACTTCTAATCAAGCTTTTTGCTAAGGCGCGTAAGAAGGCAGCAGAAAACAGCAGGAAAAAGCGCAAGTACTTAAATCCCTGAAACTTGCGTGGGACACTTGGAAGAAATTACAGGCTCCTGGCCCACACCCGGCTGGAGATGAGCCAGTGCATGGAAAATCTCCCTTTCTGTATTGCTCCCCACCCCCCATCTGTGTCACTCTACCTTTCAAACACATACACACACATATTTTTAAAAAATACATTAGTGGGCCTGGCATGGTAGCCTGGCAGCTAAAGTCCTCGCCTGGAACACACCGGGATCCCATATTGGCACCAGTTCTAATCCTGGCAGCTCCACTTCCCATCCAGCTCCCTGCTTGTGGCCTGGAAAGCAGTCAAGGGTGGCCCAAAGCCTTGGGACCCTGGAGCCTCGTGGGAGACCTGGAAGAGGCTCTAGGCTCCTGGCTTGAGATCGGCATAGCACCAGCCATTGCGGTCACTTAGGGAGTGAACCATTGGATGGAAAATCTTCCTCTCTGTCCCTTCTCTTCTCTGCATATCTGCCTTTCCATTGAAAAAAAATCTTTAAAAAATACATTAATCAATACTTCCATTTCACAACTTTAGGTAGTATGCAAAGAAGATGCTAGATCAAAATCGCAAATGAGAAAAGCTAAGCCTTTTGCAAAATTCACAATGATGATAAACATCCATTGATACTAACAGCCTATACTTAGTATCTTCAACCTAAAGAATCTGAATGCAAATATGACCTATCCCTTTCCATCTGAACCAGGAAGCCATTTCTTCACCTTAAGCATTGGTGATACCAAATACATTCTAGGCAAATTACCAACACACGTAACAGTGCAAACAATGAGCAAACTATACATGTACTCCAATTTTGGGGCTCAGCAAATAAACTTATTTTTCAATTTAATTTTTCCATGAACTTTTAGAATTACTCTTGCATATGAAGAATAAAAAATAGAATCAACACATATAAAATAGTAAGTGTCAAGGAGAACAAAGGAGTAAATACATAGATACGTGGTATCGGACAGTTCAGACCTGAAATTACAAATAGAGTGGTGAGAAAAATCCTCACTAAGAAAGCGACATGAAAAAAGATAAAAAATACTTCAGAAATCCAGGCTTCTATGGAGCAACATTTTGGGTGGAGAAAATACAAAAACTCTAAGGCAGAAACAAGCCTGGTGGGTCTGAGTTAGTAAGGAGATGTGTGTAAAGAAGAGAGAAGCAGCAGCACTCCTCAGGACTGCACAATACACGGCCTCTAGAAGGCACCGTTAGATTCAATCTTTCACAAAGCAGAGTGATGGAAAAGCAGACAGGAAGAGCATGCGCTACCTCCCACCTGCTGGACCACTCCACCAATGCACCAATGTCCGTAACGGATTAGCTGAGTGCAGATCAGAGCCAAGAGCCCATGATTCGATTCAGATCTCTCTCACGGAGAGCAGGGCCTCAAGTAACTGAGTCCTCGTTTGTTCCTTCCCAGGTGCATAAAGAGTATTGCACACTTCGAAGCAGAATAATCAAAGCTTAAACAGGCAGTCTGATACAGAACCTTGCGGTAATAGCAGCCGCATGAGAAGCCATTGTTAAAGGCCTCAGCTTTGCTTTGCTGTGAAATGGGGAATCACTGCAGGATGCTGAGGCTATTCAACGACTTCACCCCTGCTTCAAGGATCACGCTGGCTGGCATAGCTAAAGGACTGTAGTTAAGGACAAACAGGAAAACTAGCTGGAAAGCTACCTTAACAATCTATGATTTGTTGATGCTTTGAGGAATGGTGATAGAGCAGTCAGGGTTGAAAACAGTAATCAGATCTGGAATACACTTTTAGATACAAGGTATCAAAATCAAGAAGAAATGAAAAAATCAATTCAATAAAGAAGTCTGAAAGTGGGATGGATCAAAGAGGAGAATGACCAGAATGTTGCAGGAAAGGGATAATAATAACAATAATGACAATAAAGGAAAAAATACAGAGTTGGAAATATCAAAAAAATGAATGGCATGACATATATATATATATATATATATATATATATGCAACTTGGTAAAAGTGTTCACTCTTAAATAAAAAAAAAGAAGTTTATCTTTACATTTCCTATTACAATAGTTGCCTTTTGTGCATTGAATTATTGATCTTTCTTACCATTCCTGTGCTTGCCTAAAGTTAGAAAAATATTTTATTACTAAATGGCTTCATGTAATAACCATTCACAACACTTCATTTCTGGAGTCCTATTCGCCACCAGCCCCTGCTGTTCGATACATGCTCTGGCTTATTCCCTAACTGCCTCAAAAACTAACATTTGCTGGATCATCAAAACACTTGGCAGCTACTGCATGAATGTTTTCCACACTGACTGAAGACTATGGCTCTGAATAAACCCACCTCTTCTCTTCTCTCTTCTGCAGAAGGAGTTTTAAGTTCTCGTGCTGTATCATCTTTTGGGTCAAAAAGATAGATGTAATCTGAAGAGTAACTAACGAGAATCTCTTGACCATCTTCGCTATAACACAGGGACGTCACTCTGCAGGATTTATTATTAAGATGGGAAGGAATGAAACGGGCAACCATTCCAGTAGTTCCTCGCCCTGCATAATTCCCTACATAAAGAAATGGGGGGTTATTTAAAAATCAAAGTAGGACTCTCGATGAAACTTATAAACACACTTCTTCATTGCCATACTAGCTTTTCTATATTTGCCTGTACTTACCATGTCATGAAACATTTGTAACTTATATTAAGGCACTATGCCACTGTATTTAAAACTGCATAGTAGTACTATATTCCAAAAATTGGAATTTTTTAAAAATTGAGTCAACCTGAAGATATGCAGTTTCCTGGGGAACTCGAAAGCCAAGTTTTCAGTAATATTTTAGTACAAATAAAATCAAAATTATCCAGAATTCAAGATTATGTAAATGTTTTTATTAATATAAGTAATACATTACAATAAAATAACATCTTCCAAACCCTCTCTCAAATTAAGGTAATTTAATTTCTATGACAGGAAAGCTTATGCTTATTAGCATACTAGATAGAATACTAGCCAATTTTAACTAATTCTGTTCTTCACTGACATTATTGTTAGATAGCAAAAGGTCCAACACTTTGCACCTCAGTGTAGGGAGCTCTAGAAATCCTAAACTCTAGGAATCCCACAATCCTGCACAATGAATTGTTACACTTCTCACAATGACAATTGTGTCCTCTCTACTGAGTAACAGTAAGTCTGTAGTTTCACCGTATAGTATTATTGTTTCCCTTAAGCGTATGTATCTATCCAACAGGATATTTCATCCACTTCTACAAGAGAAGATCTTTTGTAGTTTTCCCTTACCACACTTTATGTCCCTTTTTACTGATATGATTTAAAACTGAAATGTGGAAGATTTAGTCTTTGGATGAGCAGTCTTTCTTTTTCTCTAATGTTATCACCTTACCTGTAGCTCTTGTGCCCAGCATCCGACGATCATATATTCGTACTGAGCTATCAGAACAACCTACAGCAAGATAATATGGTATTGGTGGACAAATGGCTACAGACGTGGCAGCACGGCGACAGTTAATCAAAATATCCTACAAAAGATAACACAGGCTCAGTTACATAAACGTACTGCTCAGTACAGTTGAGGCTGTACTTCAATTTCTCCCTTTCACTAAAAGAAAAAAAATCCTAAGGCATAACACAATAAAGGGAAAAATTATGTTGTTTTTTAACTTTTCTAGGTTTTTATCAAAATGTTTCTAATAATTGTGCCTCTGTGAAACCAAACCAATTATACCAAATCAATACTCCTCCTTAACAATTTATCATGCTGAAGAAAATAATTTAAAATTTGCTATATAACTCCAAAATTACTGATTCTCACTAAATTACTGCCCACTTATGATGTAAGCAAAAAAAATTATATAGAAACTTTAAATCTGATTAAAGACACTCAATTTTGAGTGACATAAAATTCATTCTGAAGAAAAAAATAAAAATGATTCCCAAATATAACACTAAAATATTCAATAATTATGACAGATTAGTGGCATGCAACTAAAGCTGATAATAATTCAAGAAACTCATTACTTGTATTACCACAATTTAAACCCCATTTCAAGACTAGCTATATTTCCTGATACTGATACAAGTTGAGCTGTTTCTCAGACACGCCTGCTAAATCCTCCCATAGTCATGAATGACAAACACCTTCTTTAGAAATGTAAAAACTCATCTACCAGCAATGTAATGGATGACTACTATAATGCTTAATGGTCATTAATACCATTAGGATAACAGGCTACTATTGGTCCATGTGACAGTAAACATGAGGTATATTTCACCTTTATCTCTGATTTTTATCATTTCATATGGTACTTACTGCATTTCAGTTATAATTGCTACTAAAAATATAATAAAAACAGTACAAATTGATTTTAACATTATAGACTTTTCTTATAAACTTTTTAGAAACTTAAAAACATATGTAAGTACTTTTAAAAGTTTGTAGAAAATTGGATTAATATATAAAAATTACTTTGGTGGAAATAATGCTAGAGTCCATTTTATAAGATGTCACTGATTTTATTTGAAAGGGAAATTACAGAAAGAATTGGAGAGCCAGAGATCTTTCATCCGCTGTCCCAACAGCCAGGGCTGGACCAGGCCAAAGCCAGGAGCTTCTTCCAAATCTCTCATGTGGGTGCAGGGGCTGAAGCCCTTTGGCCATTTTCAACTACTTTTGCAGGGACAGTGGCAGAGAGAGGGATTGGAAATGGAGCAGCTAAGACAGCAACTGGTGTCTATATAGAATGCCACTAACGCAGGCCGTAGCACAACCTGTTACACCACGATATTGGTCCCCCAACACATAGTTTTTCATAAAATATATTTCCCATGGACTTTTTGAAAAGTCATTCATATGCATGAACTTCTAAACACTTATGCACCAAAATAAACTTTTCTTAGTTCCGTTTTCCATAAAATTTTGAAGTACCTTTACACACACAAAGCCTGCAAACAACAGGTCTTACCGTAATATCATGACTGCTCTGCAGAAGCTTTAGCAAGAGCTATTCTCCCATCCTAAGGTTCTCTGCGCATCTACTACTTTTCTTCGGCGATTCTAGAGTCCCTGACCCTCTCAGCACAGCCAAGGTTTTATATTTACTGCAAGCTTCATTTATTTATTTTATTATTCTTAAAGACTTATTTATTTTATTTGAAAGTCAGAGAAATAGAGAGAGGCAGATGTTCCATCCAATGGATCACAATGTCGCCATGGCTGCAATGTCCAGAGCTGGCTAGGTCGAAAGCCAGGAGACTTCTGGGTGTTCCCAGGTGCACAGGAACCCAGGGCCTTGGGCCATCCTCTACTGCTTTCCTAGACCATAGGCAGGGAACTGGACTGGAAGTGGAGCAGCCAGGACTAAAATCTCCAACCATATGGGATACTGGTACTACAAGCAGAGGTTTAGCTTGCTAAGCCACTGCATCAGTCCCAGCTTTACTTATTTAATAACCCAACAACACTGCTTTTTATTACATGAAATTGACTCACCATGTCGTTTTTTTGGGGGGGAGGGATTTATTTATTTTTATTGGAAAACCAGATTTGCAGAGAGAAGGAGAGATGAAAGACTGTCCACTGTTTCACTCCCCAAGTGGCTGCAATGGCCAGGGATGAGGCAACTCAAGCTACAGCAAAGAGCTTCTTCCAGGTCTCCCATGCAAGTACAGAGTCCCAAGGCCTTGGGCCATCTTCTGCTATTTTCTCAGGCTCTAGGCTCGAAGCAAATGGAAAGTGGAGCAGCTGAAGAGGAGCCCATGCATACAAGGCAAGACTTAAGCCACTGAACCACTGCCCTGGGGCCAATTTACCACACCTTCTATAACTCCTGCTTTTAGTAGTTATGAATTACTTTAATTATCAATTTTTCTTGATAGTCTCTGTGTTTATTCACTTTCATATATAAACCAAAGAAAAAATATTTCTTAGCCTTCATTTCTGATTTTCATGGGCTTTGTGCTGAGAAAAGCACGATTAAATTTTGCTATACTGTGTACTAAAATAAAAATTAAAAGATTTGAGGGCGAGCATTTAACACAGTAGCGAAGGCACCACTTTGTACACACATGAACGCTGGCAAGCCTGAGCTTGGGTTCCAGGCACCTCTGCCCTGATTCGGCTTCTTATTCATGTCCCTCTGAGCCGGCAGCAAGGGACGGGCCAAGTGCTTGGATTCCTGCCCCCACACAGGAGATGCAGAGTGGCTGGCCAAGTCCTGGCTGTGTGAGCACTAGGAGAGTGCACCAGCAGATGGAAGACACCTGTCAATGCTTCTGCTACTCTGCCTTTCAGATACACGCTATAAATAAATGATTTTTAAACTGAAATAACTAATGTTAGTATATAACACTGTTAAGGAACAAGGATGCCAAACACCCCAAAGAACCTGATATTCTAAACTTATTTCTACATTTAATTCAATGCTTTCTGATTTCTGTGTATGTGTGTGTGTGTGTACACACACAATAAACATAACATAGAAGCTCATACACATGCTGGTGTAACAGCGCAGTGGTGCCAGTATGCCAGTGAGCACTGGCTGCTCCCTTCCTGACCTAGCTCCCTGCTAGTGTGCCTGGGAAGGCAGCAGGAGGCTGCCAGGTACGTGGGCCCTGCCACCTATGGGAGAGACCTGGGTGGAAGTTCTGGCCTCCTCTGACCCAGCCATTTGGGGAGTGAGCCAGCAGATGGAAAATATCTGTTCCCCGCCCCTCTCTATAGCTCTGTCATAAATAAAACAAAAATTAATACCTAAAAAGCTTAATATAAACTGCAATGCTTAACTTTTTAAAACTACTTTTTATTTTGTTTCTTGTCTATTTCAAATATATAAAGTGACCTTTTCACTCCTAACATATATTAATCACAGTAGACGAGGGTGGGCAGGGCTACAACACCTGTTGGCCTGCATGTAAGCTGGATCGAGTACAAGCCAGGCTGGGCTGACTATACCTACGGGAACATGCATAAGCCAGAGTGGGTGAGGGTGAGCTGGGCTTTGCTGCAGCATCAGCTAACAGATGATGGCACTGGAGAAAACTCTGTCAAGCTAAACTGCAGTACCACCTGGAGAGTACAAGATCTGGGAGTGGGTCCATTAGGGAAAGAGTGGGATATCCCTCTTGGGTTGTCACTCCAACTGCTGAGCATAAAAACCAGGACTGGGACAGGCTTGCCTAGACAGAGAGAGGCACATGCCGGCATATATGTGGGCTGGATAGTGGGGTTGGTTGTGTTGAACCAGGCTTCAATGCCCATTGACACATGTAAGAGAAAAATGGGATGTGGAGCAGACTAGACCAGTCTACATACTGCTAAGCATGGGAACCAGGGCAGGGGGAGTGGGCCTGATGAGGGTTTTGCAGGTCGCTCCAACTAGGTTGCAGCTCCCACTGGTTTACATGAGGGCCAAGTGTGTAGTGGGCAGGATTGGGTTGGGCTGCAGCACCCGCTGGTTTGTATAGAAGACAGGGCTAGAGACAGAACCAACCCAGCAACTGCAACGATCAGCATGTGCATAAGCTGAATGGGGTGACTGACTGTGCTGGACCCTATATTGGCATGCACACACAAAAATTAGGTAGCCCTGGGATCACCTCAGATAAAGTTTCTTTTGGGATCCCCCCAAATGAATCGCTGGACTCAGAACCCTAATCATGGAGAGAATTGCAGGTTCCACGGTCTAACCATACAATTCAACTATCAGAGCTGGCACCCTCAGAGGCTCAGATGGAGCAGTGGACAGCATATCCAGGTGCACATGGAGGATATGGCAGTACACTGGAGTCTGCAGAGGACACTTGGTACCATAACAGAGGACGAGGACAGAACAAATCGATCAACTACCCCAGCCAAGCATTGGCAGTGAATATCTGGGCAGAGACTCTAAGCTGGACTATGTTAATCAATGGATTCTAGAGAGATTTCATTGTGCTTGGAGTGGCGAGATCGGCAGCAATTCAAAAGTGTTGAACTCTCAAAACCTCATGGGTAGGACCTGAGGAGCATGCCCCACATCAGGAACTCTGGTGCGGTACTGGGTGGCTGTCCTCCATCCCAGGGTACAAAGGTGGTTTGGAGGTGGGTGTGGCTTCTCCCCTTATCTCCTCCCTTCCCCCAGATACAGGAAGAAAAAAAAGAGAATGTGGAAATAATGGTCTCACCACCTTCCTGTAGACCTTGACCCTTTGCACCCTAATCAACTATGTAAAAATCATCAAAATTAAAAAATAATTACCTTTAAAAAAAAGAAAAAGAAAGAAAAGTGAGCTAAATTGGATAAACATGTTGCTAGAAGCCTGCATCTTGTAGCCATTCTTGGCTTCGTGGGGTTAGGCACCGAGCTTATCACTCCTACTTACTAAGTCAACTGTCTTCATTAACAGCCCAAAATGACAGAAATTTGTGGAGTTTTAATCAGATGACAAGAACAAAGGATATTTTAAAATAAAAACTGGAGAGACAACTGCTTTAGACCAAAGTTGATGTACTAAACACCAGGCAAATCAAGCTAAAACTCAAAATGATGTTAACGCATGTTCAAGTTCCATCTCACAAAACTGGAGTCAAGCTGCTCAGCACTCCTGGGGACTCAGGCCTGGAGCACTACCAGCTTCTCAAAGGCTCCACCCTCACTGCGCACCATGACCAAGTCCCTTCCACTTTAAACAAAGTAGCTTGCTTTTATTTAGCTATGTTCCTATTGATTTTGTCAGCCAGTTACCAAAGAACAAGGGAAGTAACTTTTAAATTTAAGTTTCTGTTCTGTTTTGTTCTTTCTTTAGCCTTTTTGGGTGGATAGAACCAACCTCTCCTCCTTAGCCCATAACACTATTCTAACGCTGCCCAGCTCTCAAACTGAAAATGAAGCCAATTATGAACTTCAGGGAAGAAAAGCCAGGGTCATGAATAAAAAAGACACACTGATAAATTACTGAAGTTTTTATAACAGAATACACTGTTAAATATGCAATTTTTTAAAAATGTTTCAACTACAATCCACATATACATTTTCAAACTTCAATATTAGCATTTTAATAATTTCTGAGACTATAAAATGCATACTTATTGAAGATATTATCAAAATAAATCTTAAAATATTAATTCATAGTTTTATTACTAAGAAATAATTTACAATCCAAATATAATCTTAGTTTATTCTGCATCATACTGTACAAAAGTTGAATTCTTACATCTTTGCAGTCTTCCTTGGTGCAGCTAGTTTTGATGCGGGTATCAAACCACCGGACAGTCCCGTCTTCACCACAAGACAGAAAAGTGTAAGGGTCATTTGGTACAGTCATGATCTGAGGACGAAAACAAGGTACGGGTAATTACTGACCATTCAACCAGAAGGCTCCGGAACACCATGTTACTGCTCACAAAACTAACACAAAACATGCATTTTAATCATTTATGACTTAGCTTTGCTGACTCAAAACTACAGATGGAAATGCATAAAACAATGCATTCATTCTTCATTACTAAAAAACCTTAATACAAACTGTAATGTCTAACTTTATCAACTACTTTTAATTTTCTGCTCCTTGTGTGTTTCAGTCATGTAGGGGACAGCAACCCAATGACTTGAGGTGACCCCAGTGCCTCCCAGGGTCTACAGCAGAAGAAAGTTAGCGGCAGGAGCAGATACCTACAGCTGGGGAAGTTGTAACACTCTGAATGAGCTGCACAGGGAAGAGTCTTATCAAAGATCTGAAGATGGAGCCTTTAGCCTACTACACCACAGCACTGACCTCAAAAAAATAAAATTTCCTACAGAGAAAATAAGTTTCACATAGGAAAACACTTCCTGAACAGGAAGAAAAAGTACTAACTGCAAAATACTAACCAGTATTTCAGACAACACTTAGTACTTCTGATCACCAAAAGGCATCATTTAGGGCCAGCATGGAGGCTCACAGGCTAATACTCTGCCTTGCAGTGCCAGGATCCCATATGGGATCACCAGTTCCTGTCCCAGCAGCCCCACTTCCCATCCAGCTCCCTGCGTGTGGCCTAGGAGGGCAACAGAGGACAGCTCAAAGCTTTGGGACCCTGCACCTGCCCCTTTAAACAAAGTTGCTGCTAGGGACAGCCACATCCTTCAGCAGAGGACTAGGGTTCAAAGTCCTGGTCTCCACTCCTAGTTCCAGTTTCCTGGTGATGCATACACCCTGGGAAGCAGAGCAGGTGCATGGGTCCATGCCGCCCATGAGGAGACGCAGATGGATTTCCTGGATCTCAGCTTTGGCCTGGTCCAAGGCTGGGTGTTGAGGACATTTGGGAAGTAATACCGACGATGGGAGCTTGCAATATTATTCACAGAAATAAAATTTATATGGGTGTGTGTGTACAGTATAGACAGAATAGGAGATAAGGAGATGTATCTTTTTTTGCAACAAAATAAATATGATTTAATTCCACTTCACCATGAGCTTTCTCAAGTCATGATACAGGTAGATCCAAATATATTAATACTCAAAACAAATGTAAACTGACTGCACTCATCAGTGAAAACCAAAAATGTAGAGAAAGGACAAGAAAGGAAAATCTCAGTATGTACTATCCATGTAAGTGCACATCCAAACATGGGGCCACAGAGGAACTGAAATGCAAGTAACCAGATTAACACAATGGGACCCAGTCAGTCATTTGATGGGAAGGAATGACACACAAACGCTGTAAGAGAACTTGGTAGGATGAGCAGTTTTTCTAAACCAAATGAAGTACAACTGAGCCCTGCTCATTCTATTTCATGCAACTCAACTCGGGGCTTTAGCAAATGGGCATCCTCCAGGAAGCGGACTGTCTCGTCTTGTGCACTAGTGCTCCTGCTGAGGACCTGGTAAGCACGCTAGCAATGTCTTTAGACAGGTCAGTGATTTAAGGGAGACACCTAATACACAGCCCTGCATTTCAGTAGTAGCCATCCTCAAAGGCTGACAACTCAGCTTCAAGTCGGGCTGCTCCACCAATTACAACCCCAACAGAAAATTCCATCACAGCATCTTCCTATCTCCATTCACAGATCTATCAAGAAAACATCTAAACAGTCATCAATAATCTCTATGCATGCACCTGTATGTACACACATATCTACACATTCCTACCTACACACAAACTTACACAAATAGAACCTTATCTGTGAACACAAAACTGTACCTCATACGTAGTTCCATAATGGCACGTAAACTGGCACTGCCTGTTACTTTCCGCATCTTGCTCCACATTGGTATAAAATATCACTCCATCTCCGGAGCAGGACACGATCTGTTTATCATTTGTGCAAGGTAAGAACTTTGCACTAAATATATTTGCCCGATGCCCTGAAGGAATTGTTGTCAAAACCTAAAACACACAGAAATTGATTTCAGGTAATTTGTTTCCTAGAAAGAAAAAAAATTCATATTTAATCTGATCATATCAGGCAATAAATTCTCAAAGATACCATTTGATTCTAAACTATTGTTCATTTTTTTAGAAAACCCGAATTTCACGTTTTTATTTTGCTCCCTTTAAGATATGAAGAGAATCATCCACTGAAAAAATGCATGAAATAATGTCATTAAATCAAATATGCAGTTTTCATCTATTTGGTTTACCTCACTCAGTGGTTAAGACTGAGTAACTAAGAACTATTTTGGGGGCCGGGCGGCATGGCCTAGTAGCTAAAGTCCTCGCCTTGAACGTGCTGGGATCCCATATGGACATTGGTTCTAATCCCGGCTGCTCTACTTCCCATCCAGCTCCCTGCTTGTGGCCTGGGAAAGCAGTCGAGGACGGCCCAAAACCTTGGGATCCTGCACCCACGTGGGATACACAGAAGAAGTTCCTGGATCCTGGCTTCGGATCAGCATGCATAGCATCAGCTGTTGCGCTCACTTGGGGAGTGAATCATCGGATGGAAGATCTTCCTCTCTTTCTCTCCTCCTCTCTGTATATCTGACTTTCCAATAAATAAATAAATCTTAAGAAAAAAAAAAACTATTTTGATGGACTTTTCAAACTGTATAGTAAATAATCAAGCTAGTCTCTTTCAAGATGAAGAAATAAAAATAAAATGAATTGGGCCAGTGTTGTGGCACAGCTAATAAATCAGCCTGCAAAGCTGATTTGATTCTAGGCTGTTTCACCTCTAATACAGCTCCCTGATAATGACCTGGAAAAAACACTTAAAAATAGACCAGCAGAACCCACAGATGGACCTCCCTCTTTTTAACTCTTCTTCCCCATGCCCCAATGCTCTTTCAAATACACAAATAAAAAATTACAGAGCTGCAACAAAAGATTAAAATTAAAGGAATTGTACATGCAAAATCTAAGTAATGAAATAGCATATAGGAGGGCATATAATTCTTTGATTATATTTAGATACTAGATTTATTTTAAAATAATAAATTAAAACAAATATTCTTAACATTTATAATAATATCCCACAAATAAAGGACCAGTTCCCCTTGCAATGCTTATAAATTGAGCAAAAAGTACCTGGCACAATCTTTATGCTGTCAGATACTTTAGGACGGTGCACCAAACAGCTACTGGTAAGGAAGTTCCTGTAGCATCCAGGTGTTCCTCACAGGCCTTTGGCTTTGCATTCGGCACCCTGACATCTTTCTATACAATCCAGGACTGGCTCCCATCTAACAGGTTTATGCATAGCTTCAGAAACATAGCAACTTTCATTATTTAATGGTAACTTACAATGAGGGCCTTACAACTTGCATGAGGGCCTGGCGGCATGGCCTAGCGGCTAAAGTCCTTGACTTGAAACCACCAGGATCCCATATGGGTGCCGATTCTAATCCTGGCAGCTCCACTTCCCATCCAGCTCCCTGACTGTGGCCTGGAAAAGCAGTCAAGGACGGCCCAAAGCCTTGGGATCCTGCACCCACATGGGAGATCTGGAGGAAGTTCCTGGATCCTGACTCCGGATCGGCACAGCACCAGCCGTTGCGCTCACTTGGGGAGTGAATCATCGGAAGGAAGATCTTCTTCTCTGTCTCTCCTCCTCTCTGTATATCTTTGTCATGAAAATAAATAAAACTACTTTAAAAAAAAATCCACATGATTCCTTTTACTGAGATTAAGCTGACTGAAAAGATGGAATCCATTACCGGTAAATGAATCTATACATTTCACGCATCTCTTTCTGAATCTACTCTCCATTCCAGTGTTCCTATCAGTTTGAACAGCGAGCACATCTCTCAAAGGCCCAAAGTCCCCTGCTCCTGGTTAATGGTTAAGAGAGGACCCCAGCTCTAATTACTTCGTCTAGGTGACAACATAGCAGGTCTGTAAGTCACAGGAGCGTGTCCCTTGGAAGGTAACAGGCTTCCCAAGAGGCTTACTCACTCAGGCAGAGCTGAGCCTATCTGTTCTACTTCCTTCTTTGTAACATAACTGGCCCTCTGCCATTCTTTAGCCTTATCAGTTGCCCAATCATGAACTAGAAGACTCCAAACTGTAAATCAAAATAAACACTCATTCTTAAGTAGCTTCCTTCAAATATTATGGTTGTAAACACAAAAAGCTGATGGATATAGTTCGCATCTCAACAGCATCAGTGTCCATCCACATAGAAAAACGTGTAAAAATAAGAAATCATTCTTTATTTCTCTCTCCCTTAACCACCATATTAAATACAGCAGCAAAAACAGGCCAAATGCATCCTCAATTCCTTCTCATTACCTCCTGTTTCCTAATTCAAATTATGTACAAACTCTATTCTTCCAAATAGCAGCCACAGCTATCTTTTAAAAATATAAGTCATGGGGTCAGCACTATGGCTCAAAAGGTTGATCCTCCACCCGCAAGCTCCAGCATCCAATATGAGTGCCATTTCTACTCCCAAAGGCTCCACTTTCCATCTAGTTCCCTGCTTGTGGCCTGGGAAAGCAAAAGATGGCACAGATCCTCAGGCTCCTACATCCACATGGTAGACCCAGAAGAACGTACTGGCTCCTGGCTTCTCAACAACCCAGCTCCAACTATTGCAGCCATTTGGGGAATCCGATCAGGAGCCAGGAGCTTCTTCTGGGTCTCCCTCCAGGGTACAGGGTTCCAAGGGTTTGGGCCATCCCCTACTGCTTTCCCAGGCCACAAGCAGGGAGTTGGATGAAAGTGGGGCAATCAGGACATGAACCAGCACACATATGGGATCCAGGCATACAAGGCACTGAGCCACCACATTGGCCCTAAATATGCCTTTTAAATAAAAATAAAGATTTTTAAAAATGTAAATCATACTACTTCTATATTTAAGGCTCTTCAGTGTTTTACTTTCAATTACACTGAAATGCAATTGCTTAATATACTCTATAAAACCTACTATATGATGCCTCCTAGGACTACTGTGATAGCCTGATAGCTAAATCCTCACTTTGCACACACCAGCATTCCATATTGGGTGCCAGCCTTGTGACTCTGCACACGCACAGGAGACCCAGAAGAAGCTCCTGGCTCCTGGCTTCAGATCAGCTTGGCTCTGCCATTACAGCCACTCAGAGTGAACCAGTGGATTGAAGATCTTTTTCTCATCTCCTGGTCTATAAATCTTTCAATAAAAAATTTAAGTCTTTACATTAAAAGGCTGCCACCATTAGAATTTCATTTTGTACCCCACACTTCCCACTTATTACATTATTGCAAAAAAAAAAAAATATTCACGTATACAGGGTAGTCAATATTGAAGATGGGATTTGTTTCTGCACTGTGAGAACTGCATCCACACAGTCCTGGTTCCTGTTCCAACTCTAGTTCCCTGCTAATGTGTCTCTTCGAATGTAGAGGGGGAAGGTCATGTTGGAACACCCACAGAGTTGCAAGGTCATGAACACAACCTGGCCAAGCCCTGGTTGCTATCGTAGGTAGACAGAATAAACAGATGGGAAGATCTGTCTTTTTCTCTCAAGCTTACAAATAAATAACTTAGGGCCTAGCACGGCAGCCTAGTGTCTAAAGTCCTCGTCTTGGACTCTCTAGGATCCCATATGGGTACTGGTTCATGTCTGGACTGTTCCACTTCCCATCCAGCTCCCTGCTTGCAGCCTGAGAAAACAGTCAAGGACGGCCCAAAGCCTTGGGACCCCGCATCCACATGGGAGACCCAGAAGCAAATCCTTGCTCCTGGCTTCGGACTGGCTCAGTTCCAGCCGTTGCAGCCACTTAGACAGTGAACCAGCAGATGGAAGATCTTCCTTTCTGTCTCTCTTTCTCTCTGTAAATCTGACTTTCCAGTAAAAATAAATAAATCTTTAATAAATGAATAAATAAATTTGTTAAGACTGTCAAGATTGATCAAAAGTATCCAGTTAGTACAGAGTACTTTATAAATCACTCAGTGAAAATCACCTATCTTTAAACCCAAACCATGCCACTGCTTAAGAATCAAATATGAAATCCGCATCTTTTTCATTTTTTACTAAATTTTATTGGGCATCAATTACGTAACAGGCAAAAAGAAACTGGCATTATCTCAAAGCAGTAACAGTATAAGCACAATATGTAAATAAATGTAATAATAGTTACAAAGGAAAACAGAACAATATGTATCTAAAAAAGCTCATCAAAAAACAATGAGTTTTAAATATGCGAAGTAATGGGGGACAAAAGTCAAGAGAAGCGTCCACAAAGGACAGTACTTTGGGGACATGAGTGTGCTGTGGATATTCTGTACACATAATTAAAATATAATCACATTAGGGCCCAATGTCGTGGTACAGCAACTTAAGTTGCAGCTTGGGACACCCACATTTCCTATCAGAGTGGTGGTTTGAGTCCTGGTTACCACACTTCCAATCCCGTTTCCGACTAGTATGCCTGGGAAGCAACAGATGATGGTTCAAGTCATCGAGTCTCAGTACCCATGTGGGAGATCCGGATGAGGTCCGGCTCCAGCCTGCCACACCGCTAACTGCTACGGGCATTGCAGGAGTGAACAGCAGATGGGAGGTTTCTCTTTTGCTCTCTGTGTGTGTATCATTCTGATCTCCATATAAACACATAAACACGTTAATAATGATTCATCCAGGCTCAAATCTATAATGTAAGAATTTCAAAACTTTTTTGTGCAATTAATTTTCACATTAATTCAAAGGATTAGAAAATGAAGACAAAGTATAAGATTAAGTAGTTTTGAGCCCGGCACTGGCTAAATCCATGTCTCATAGGTGCCACGATCCTATATGGGTGCCAGTTCATGTACTGACTGCTCCACTTCCCATCCAGCTCCCTTCTGGTGCCCCAGAAGGGTAGTCAAGGATGGCCCAAAAAGCTTGGGATCTGCACCCACATGGGAGATCAGAAGAGGCTCCTAGCTCCTGGCTGTGGATCAGCTCAGCTCTGATCATTGAAACCATTTGGGGAATGGAGCAATAGACAGAAGAGCCTTCTCTTTAAATCTGCCTTTCTAAAAAAACAAAAAAAGTCTTAAAAATATTAAGTAATTTTGAATCAAGAGCAAAAGACTTACTTTCCTATATAATGTACCACTGATATCCCAACATCTAAAAAAATTCTAGAAGCAGGCATTCAAGCTAGCAATTAAGAATTCCATGTCCAGGCTGAATTCCCACCTCTGGCTGCTGACTCCAGATTACTGCCAATGCAGTGAGGGAAGGCAGCAGTGATCACTCTGCTCCCTGGGCTCCTAGAGATCTGGACTCAACTCCTGGCTCGTGGACCCAGCTTAAGGCCAGTCTCACCTTTTCCACATAGGGAGCGTGAACCAGCAGACGGAAGTTACCGCCAACCTCAGTCTCTGTGTCTCTCCCACTTAAGTAATAACACTAAAATACTTCAAATTCCTTTCCTACATCAAATTTGGGTTTATCAAACACACTGCTGTCATTGAATAATGGCACCCCAAAGCATGCAGGAGTTAGAAGAGTCCTAAGTCGCGGGATGTCCTTTCCCACTTGAGGACCCTGTCTGCGAAAATACAATCCGCAAATGCGGCATGCCCAGTGTGGGACTGCAAACCTCCAGAAAACAGGAGCCAAAAGGAACCACTCTTCTTCCTCACTTTTCTTTATAAAGCTAGCCTGCCTCGGGCTACATATTTAAATATATGTATTTGAACTACATCCATCAATCAATGTGATGTCATTCTTTAGAAAATAAGCAAAGGAGAACACAAGGTCTTCTAAACATCACGCCTTTGGCACCAAGATGACTGCCTTGTCAACCGCTAACAGTTAAGATGCTATGACTATCGAAAAGCCTTTCACCTACACAGGACTCCGGGAAGTTTTCTCTATTATAAGAAAAAGGTTATCCTAGTTATCACTGACCCAAGAAAAGCAGAACTCGAAAACATCGAGGGAAAATAAGCACAACCGCTACTGAAACAAAGGGATGGCCTACTAATCGGACAGTCTCACGGTGATCTTTCAGAGGTGAAGAACAAATGCTCAAGCATCTTAAGTGCTAAAACATGAAAAATGAGAACTACATAAACAGCTGATCCTGCAAGACCAATATATTTTAAAAAAGATTTTGAGCAGACTGGCAACCAGGGTTTAGCAGGCTAGGCTTCCGTCTTCAGCACCAGCGTATGGGCTTAGTTTCAAATCCTCGCTGTTCCACTTCCAACCCAGCTCTCCACGTAAGGCCCAGGAAAGCAGCAGAGGATGGCTCGCTCAAGTCCTTGGGCCCCTGCACCTATGTAGAGGACCAGGAGGAGGTTTCAGGCACCTAACTTCCAATCAGCTCAGCTCTGGCCATTTGGAGAGTGAACCAGCGGATGGACGATCATTCTCTCCTCTGCACAACTCTTCCTTTCAAATAAAAATAAATTAAAAAAAAAAAAAGACTTTGGTTGCCAATGTATAATGTTCTGACTGACATAAAAATAACTAAACATACCCTCTACAACATGAGCTCAGAAGCTAAGAGCCAATGAAAACCAGAACATAATCCTACTCAGAATTCAATTTACCAAGAGCCTGTGTTGGGACACAGGCGAGCGAAAAACGTCGCCCACAACACCAGCATCCCATATTGGAGCACCAATGCAAGCCTCAGTTGCTCCATTTCTGATCCAGCTCCCTGATCAAATGCCTAAAAAGCAGTGAAGGACGGCCCCAATAGGCGGGGTTCCTAGCTACTGACTTTTATCAGGCACAGCCCTGGCTGCTGTGGCCATGTAGAGATGAACCAATAGACAGAAGATCTATTGAACCCTCTCTCCATTCCTGTGGCTATGCCTTTATTTGTTTATTTGAAAGGCATATTTACAGGGAAGGAATGACATTTAAAAATTTTTTGAAAGTTCTATGCAACTACGATCTCGTTTCAGAACCAGTCCCTCCTGGATACAGAACAATGATGGTGTTCCTAATCGTAACTGGAATGCACGCAGCTCGACAGCCCAGACTGCACTCGGCCGACTGAGACTCAAACTCAAGCTATTTAGAAAACTATGACTCACACTTAAAACAGTGCATGCCATTAACTCTTCTGTGCAATGTGAGTACTTCCATCTAAATGCTCTTGCATGCAAAAACAAAGTGTCCAACGAAGAGAGTCCTCATCCTCGCATGAAGTAAAGTTATTCATATTACTCCGGATATGACGATGGACTCCATAAATAAATTACTGTACTAAGATAACTCATTTACCGAGCAACCTTTATTCTAAAGGGGGGTCTGGCGCTGTAGCCTCGTGGCTAGAATTTTGCTCTGCCAGGATCCCATATGGGCGCTGGTTTGTGTCCTAGTTGCTCCACTTCTGTTCCAGCTCCCTGCTTGTGGCCTGGAAAAGCAAGGAGAGGACGGCCCAAAGCCTTGGAACCCTGCACTCAACATGGGAAACCCAGAAGAAGCTCCAGGCTCCTGGCTTTGGATCAGCCACAATGGCCAGAGCTGAGCTCCTCCAAAGCTGGGTACAGGAGCTTAAAAAAGAAATCACATTGTCATCTTTCCCCAAAGAGTGTTACAGAGACAATGTCACTTGGGACCACTGTTAACCACTTGGGTAAAATAGGCGTGCTTTAATTTTCTGGAAACTAAAGCTGAATAAAATTGTTTCCTTAAGGAAACTAAGGAATGTCCATGTATTAACCTCTAAATTATATTTATATAATTAACTTTATTAAAGATAAAAGCCATTATAAATGTCCATTCCACAATTATTTAAGCTTTCTCTACCTTCTTGATTTTTTTTTCATTAAATGTAGATTTTTTTTTTAACTACTTTACCTTTCTGCTATAAGGATTACTGATTACTAGCTTGGTGTCATCTGAGCCAGATAAAATATATTCTCCAGTGTCATTCCAACAGATTGTATTAACCTAAAAGGGAAGCAAAGAAAGAAATATGAGCAAATTAGGCAAAGGGAGATTGCGATATTTCACTTACCTGACGGTACAAAATTCATAGCATTAAGAAGGTTATTATTACAATAAAAAGCACTTAAGTTTCTTTATTGAAAAAAAAAAAACCAGACTTCTGGTTAGTAATTATACACATATAAAGACTAGAAGTTACCACACCATGCTAACAAGTAAAAAAAATGAACAAACTGCACAATCAAAATTCCTATTACGTCCCTTGGAGCAGTAACGACATAGGAACACTGTTTCTACCAAAATGAAGTGACAGGACAGACTGGCATGGTGCGGCAAATTCAAGTCCTAGACACTGCACTCTCCCAATGCAGAGTGGAAACGGCCCAAGTCTGGGTCCCTGCCACCCACGTGGGAGACCCAAATGGAGTTCTCGGCTTCTGGCTTTAGTCCGGCCCAGTCCAGTCCTGGTTCCTGGGACCATCTGCGGGTGAACCAGCAGATGTAAGATCTTTCTCTGTTCTCCCTCCCTCCATGTTGCTCTTCTGTCAAATAACTCAATCTTCAGAAAGAAATAGAGAATGAGAGCAATAGATTAATACAGAAGCTTGGCTTACTGGAAGAGAATGTAGAAACCTCTGCGGGAAGCAGTGTCACAGCAAGCTCTGCACTGTGACTGAGGAATTGGGGGAGGCCCCAAAGGACAACTCTGATTATTAAAACCTACAAGGGGAGTGGATTATGTGAAGGTCCATATTGCTTTAACTCCAGGGCCTCTAGAGGCTCTCACAGTAAATTCCAGAGAAAAATACCCTGTGTTTCAAGCAGGATAAAGGGACAAGGAGTCATTTTGAAACCCACTAATCTATTACACTTACTAAGGTCTGCCGTCAACAGAAGCTGTTCAACCACAGCTTAACCTACAAGGATGTGCAGAGCCTTACGGACCTGCTCCAGCCTGCCCACCTCCAGCCCACTTGCCCACTCTCTCCCGGGTAAGAAGGCGGGGAGGCAATGAAAACTCACAGTGAGGTTCACAGGCCAGACACAGGGTCACTGAGAGTCAGGGATCCGTGGGCTGGCACTGTGTCGTAGCAAATTAAACCACTACCCGCAGGGCTGGCATCCCATAGGGACATCGGTTCCAGTCCTTGCTGCTACACTTCCATTCCAGCCACGTACAAAAAGTCTGGGAAAAGCAGAAGATAGTCCAGGGTTGTGGGCCCTGCAACCCACGTAGGAGACCTGGAAGAAGCTCCTGACTCTGGCCTGGCTCAGGAGCGGCTGTTGTGGCCACTTGGGGAGTAATCCAGCAATGGAAGATATTTCTCACTCTCTGCATCTCTCCCTCTCTGTGTAACTTTTTCAAATAAATAAAATAAATTTTTTAAAATAAAAGATACAGAGATCTAGAAACAAAATGATAAAATACTACCTCATTAATTATATATTTCTCCAAGATTTATTTGTATCTGTTCCATTTATCTGGTCTATCATCCAGTCTTAAGGGAAGAAAAATCACAAGAAACACTAAAAGACAAAAACTACACTTTGAAGGTACAGGACAGGCATCAGCACGAAACACACCAGGACTCCTGGAGCTTCCAGACTGGGGCTGTGAACAACTAACATGAACCTGCTAAGGGCTCCAATGGACCAATTCAACAGCACGAAAGGGCAAGCACAAAGATGGAAATTCTAAGAACGAATGAAAAAGAGTTGTAACAAAACTGGAGAATGCTTCTGATGTGATATGAGCACCCTGGACATGGCCGAGGGAAGAAATCTCCAACGTCAGGAACACATCAATAGGAACCTCCCAAACAAAACAAAGACTGGAGCACAGAGGAACAGCCCAGGATGTGGGAAACTTAGAACAGGTGTAACTACGGGCGATGGAAATACCAGAAGGGGAAGAAACAGGGAAGAGAACATCTGGAACAATAATGACAGAATTTCTCCCAAACTAATGTCACAAACCAAACCAGATTCAGAAAAGGTCAGGGAACATTCAGAATAAACAGCCAAAGACTTTACTAGGCTATCATGTTTAAGCTACAGAAAATCAAAGATAAGGAAAGTATCTTGAAGGAAACCAATGGAACCAGGGAAGCCTTTAGCTACAGAGGAACAAAACTACATGAGCATTGTCCTCAGAAAGCATAAACAAGGAGAGCACAATAAAATGTTTAAAGCACTGAGAGAAAAATGTATAATCCAGAATTCTTTACCCTGAAAAACTATATTTCAAAATAGGAGAAATAAACATTTTCTCAGCCAAACACACACTGAGGAAATTTCTAAGAACCACTTCCCACAAATGTAGACCAGATATCTGGATCTGCACAAAGGAGTATGCCACAGGAGGAATAAGTAACGGAACTGCACTTAACTAATCTAAAAGATCAGTTATTGTTGTTAATATGCTAATAGCAAAAGCACATTCAATTATGGTTGCTTATAAATACACCACATAAAAGAATACACTTATATGTATTCTTACAAATCAGTGAAATGAATGAGAGCAATAATACAAGGTATAAGAAGGAAGACTCAGGACTATCTTATGTACGCTACCTTGCAATTGGTACAATTACTTGAAAGAAAGTTAACTTGGTTTAGTTGGACATACACATTACAAACTATAATTAGTTTGTATTAAAGTTTTCTCCCCAGCCGCAGGCAGCTGCCTAAGTTGCCTTGTACCTAGGCAAATATTACCCTGCTGGGAGACAAGTGGCCAATAATGGTGGGAATTCTGGACCTGGTTAATGTCCAATTTTTGTTAGCTATACCAATGTTAGCATAGTTGATTTTTATGTGTTTGTTTATTTATTTATTCTTTAAAAAATAAGTGTGGAAGGCAGGAATTCTGAGAACTCTGGGCCGGGACATGCCACACTGGCCCTCAGGTGGGGTGAGGGGCAGCAGACTGCCAAGGGTAGTGGGACCTGAGGACTGACTAGAGTGAGAGCAAATTAGGATATTTGAAAGGGAAGAAATTATTTCTGGGGTCGTCCACAGACCAGGCCACTGCACTCGCAGGTAGGCAAGGGAGCTGAGACAAAGTGGTTTAGAGCTGATAAATTGAGGGCATGTCTGAGTCAGGCCTAGGCACCCCTGACATGGGAGCCTGGGTTGGGCTAACAGCATTACCTGCCGCCCGCTGGTGCTTGCATCAGGCTGGTGGGCATGCCTGAGTGGGCTAGGCCAGAGTACCCACCCTTAAGTGTCAGAGCAGGAAGTGCACAATGTCAGGCTGGGCCACAGCACCACCAGAACATGAGAGAACAAGATCTGGGGACACATTCTGTAGGGGACTTGTGGTCCCACACATCACAGGATGTGGTCCAACCTTGGAGTGCATGTATCAGGACTGGGCCTCCTCAGTTGCTAATGCCTGTGTCGTGCAGGTCTAGATACACATGGGGGGCATGATGGCCAGCAAATCTTGGCCAGTAGAGGACATCAACAGCCTCGTCAGAGGATGGAAAGCAGGACAGGCTGGACAATTCCGGCAACCCTCTGCAGCTTGTTCCTGGGTCTGTGGATGCACTAAGGTGGACTTTGCCAACCAGTAGACCTTGGCAAGATTTTCTCAACCTTGGAGCAACAAAGCTGACACCATCTCAGGGCTACTGCAACCACCGGGGAATAGCCTCGGAACACTCTTCCCCACACAGGGGTCTCTAAGATGACATCAAATGACTATCTTCCATCCCTGGGTACTGACAGTGTGACAGCAAAAAATAGCCCTCTCCCCTTCCTCCCGTGCGGACGCAGGAAGACAAAAAAAAAACCCTGACATTTGTCCCACCCACCATCCTACACACCTGACCCTCCCCATCCTAATCAAAGGTTCACATGGGCATGCATCTCTCTCGACTACATAAACAATATTAAAAACAATAAAATAAAGAAAAAGAGCCAAATTACTAATGCTGGAGGTGAGAAAAGGGAATCACAAGGGGCCCTAAAAGGAAGAATTCTCTTCCCCAGCTGTCTGATAACCCAGACACACTGGACTAACTCACTAATTCCAGGAATGATGCAATCCGCCAAACCTTCACACTAGATCAAGGATCTAAACAAGACCACGTCCACTCAGCAAATGGAACTAGTGCCAGCTCTGTGGCACAGGGCGTTAAGCTGCTACCTGCAACACAGGCAACTCAGTGCACATCGGTTCAAATTCTGGCTGTTGCACTTCGGATTCAGCTACCTGCTTCTGAGCCAAGCAAAGCAAGCAGCGGCCAATGGCCAGGGTACTTGGGCCCTAGTACCCACGTGGAAGACGGAGCTGAGGCTTCTGGCTCCTAGTTTCAGCCCAGCCACAGCCACAGCTATTGTGGCCATTTAGGTGGAAAACCAGTAGATGAGATGGAAGACCCCCCCACACACACCTCTCTAACTTTACTTTTCAAATAAATAAATCTTTAAGATTAAAAAAAAAAAAAAAAAAGGTAGAAGAAGCTGTCTGCAGTGCCAGCATCCCACACAGGTGCAGGTTCTATCCCAGTTTCCCATTTCCAGTCAGATTTCCTGCTTATGGACTGGGAAAGTAGAAAAGGATGGCTCGAGTCCTTGGCCCCTGGCACCCACAAGGGAGACTCAGGAAGCTCCTGGCTCCTGCCTTCAGACTAGCTCAGCTCTAGTCATTCTGGCCATTTTGGGAATGAACCAGTAGATGAAAGATCTCTCTCTCTCTCTTTTCTCTATAACTCTGCCTTTCAAAATAACAAAATAAAAATAAAAATCACACTGTACTATTTTTTTAAAAAAGAATAGAATTACTGATTAATCTTTTGAAATAACATGCACTTTTGATAACCTAAACACAATGAACTAATCCAGTAATTCCTTCAATGACACAATCTGCCAACATTAACAAAAGCGTAAGTAAGCCAGCTGAACAGGACTATGCCTATTAGAAGAATGGAATTAACAGTTAAGAACCTTTCCAAACAGGAAGTACAAAGCCCAGGTGGATTTGCTGGCAAAGGTTACTGCAGGTTAAAAGAAATTATTCCAGTTGTCTACAATCTCTGAGAAGAGATGCAGAGGGAATATTTCCTAATGCAGCCTATGAACCCATCATTAACCTAATAACAAAACCACACAGACATTACAAGAAAACTATAATTCAGTGTCTCTCATGGACATGGATACAAAAACCTCCAATAAAATATCAGCAAATCAAACTGAGCGATGCGTAACAAGATTCATACACCACAACCAACTGGTTTTCTTCCAGCCATACAAAGCCAATTCAACATCAATAAACCGAAGAAGAATCATCATCAACAGATGCAGAAAAAGTATCTGACCACATCTAACATCCATTGGTGACTGATTTAAAAAGCAAATTAGGAACAAACTACATATGTCAACTCAATAAACAATTTCTACAAAAACCCTATAATCATCATACTTAACAGAGAGAAACTAGGGGCCTGCCACCAGAATTAGGAACACAACACATCTTTTTTTAACACTGTACTCCTGGAAGCTCTCATGAACACATTAAGACAAGAAAAGGTATGTAGATTCGGAAATAAGAAGTCAAACCTTTACTCACATATGCAAACATGATCAAACTAGGAAATACAAAGACAAAAATACTTCTGGGACAAGTGATGACAGCCACATAACAGGTAAAGGTTAATAAACAAAAGTCAGTTGTTTTCTTATATAGCGATGGAGAAGAATTTTAAATACAAAAATCCATAACTTTTACATTGCAAAATTTATATAAATATAATACTTTATGTACAGGATCCCTGAAGAAAACTACCAAACTGTCAAAGAAGTAACTTTATAGGGAGCTATTCCATGTTAAGGAAGCTTCAATGTTTTCAAGATGTTAATTCTTTCCATCCTGGTACACAGACTCGGTGAATTCCAATTAAAATCCCCTCAAGTTCTGTAGATATCAACAAATATATTCCAGGTCTCCATGTAGGTACAGGCCATCCACCATGGCCATCCTCACGTAGCATATCGAGGTACAACAGGTTCACACTTGGTTCTGGCTCTTGACGCTCACTTCCTGTTATTGCAAACCCTGAGTGTCAGCGGTAATGGTCCAAGTAACTGGGACCCTGCCATTCATGTGGGAAATACGAAATGAATTTCCAGATCCTGGCTTCTGCCCAGCCCAGCTCCAGCTGCTCTGGGCGTCTGAGGAATGAACCAGCACACGGGAGCACTCTTTCCTCTCAGATACATTAACACTAATAACTTTAACCATAATACGATGCTGTGCTTCACCGATGTCTACAGTCTCTGAGAAATGACTATTACATCTAGAGAGATGCGCTCAGAGACCTCACAGAGCAGTGAATGAGGGAAACCTTTTAAAGGTTAGAAAACTGATCGGTGCTTCAAACATTCTTGCATATACTCTTCTATATTTTCATGTAAAGCTTTATTCTCCCAATTTACTAGTTACTCATGATCTCTTTTTTAAATTCTGGGGCAATTTACCAAACTTTAAATACTGAAGTCCCTTTTAGTTCATACAGAATTAACTATTACTTACACAGCCATCATGCACATTTAGGGTTGCTTCAAGTTTTAATCTTTGGATAAATTCTCTTCTTCCTGTTTAAAAAAAGAGAGAGAGAGAGAGAGATAAACAAACCACACAATCTATGCTGAGGAAAGTCTAACACTTGAAGAGCCCCGGGCCTAGCTAAGCAAGGCAAATGCTGGCTCCAACTCCAGCTCCGCCACTTATAAACTGAGCGACACTCAGCAAATTAACTTCCAGGGGCTTCATTTCCCTGCAAGAATATCAACTTCATGTGGCTAATGTAAGAATTCAATGATTGAAGGACAGAAAAGGCTTAGCAGAACCTGAACCACAGTGAACATCCAACAGCTCTTCATTCATCCACTCATTCAATGAGCGTACTGAGTACACTCCTCCAGGTAGCATTCCAGGAGCTAGAAATACAACAGTAAGATGAAGCAAGATCTCCACCCTCTGTGATAGGAGATATATACACCAGGTCAGGAGCCAGCACTGTGGCACAGCTCGATAAGCCGCTCTGTGCAACACTGGCTTGAGTCTTGGTTGCTCCACTTCCAATCCAGCTCCCTGCTGCTGTGCTGGAAAAGCAGCACGAGACAGCCCAAACCCCGGGCCCCAGCCACACACATGGGCGACTCTGATGGAATTTTGGGCCCCCGGCTTTAGCTTGAACCAGTCCTGGCCATTGTGGCTGCCTGCAGAGCAAACCAGCCAACGAAGAGCTTCTAAGAACATCAACAAGTCAGTAAAGTTCTTCTTCAATCAGATGATGCATAATTAACTTTCAAATCTGATTTATAGCTTTAAAAATATGCTAACTACACCACACAGATAAAAAGTTTGACAAAATTATTTTTGGCCAAATATAAGCTTGGCAATCCTGCCAAATTACAGAATGAAAATAAAAAACAAAGCAGTAAACTAACAAGTAACAGCAATCAGAACTCATTAAAACACTGAATATTAAGAAACATTTCTTGTCCCCAATTTCTAAAGTCTAGATTTGACAATCTGGCTCTGGTCATACTGGTCTGGAGAACATGAGATGTTTAACTTGAGGGAATACCTGAGATCTGTACATCTGATCTCCAGTAAATGACGCAATCAAAAACTCCTGAAAAGCATTTTTCTATGTGACTCCGGAGATAAAACTATCCAATCCACACATCCCACAGAGTGTGCTTCTATAAGCTAAAAAACAACATAGGTAAAAACTAAGTTTCCGAATGCTATTAAAAACCATGATGGGTCCGGCCTATTTGCAAATCTACCCAATTAGCCCGCCACAGTTCTGCAGTTGATGGCAGGAGACACAAGACTCCTCGGAGGCAAAGGGTTTTACTGTCCACAGCAAAGCAGCCACTGTGCACTTCAGGGTCCACACTGGGCCCTTCTGTCTCAGGGTCCAGGCAATGTAACAAGTTGAGCCACTGCCAACACGGGCATCCCATATGGGCGCAGGTTCAAGTCCAACTGCTCCACTTGTGATCTAGCTTCCTGTTAACGACTTGGGAAGAGCAGTGAGGAGATGATCCAAGCATTCAGACCCCTGCCACACATGTGGGGACACCCAGAAGGAGCCCCTGGCTCCTTGTTTCTACTTGGCCCAGTCTCAGCCAGCAGGTGGCAAAATCTCCATCCCTCCCTCCCTCTCTCTCGGTAACTTTTTCAAATAAATCAATCAATAAATCTTTTAAAAAATAAAACAGTTCTCTATGTACCTGAAAGATTCTTTAAAGTTATTACTGGATAAAAAGAGACAATTAAAAAAAAAAAAAACTATAACTTCGAGTCTTCCTGGTCAGAGAAAAAATGACAGGCTACTTAGCAACACTAAGGAGAGATGGAAAGGCACTTTCACAAAATTCTGACTTTGCTTTACCTAGCCCTTCTGTCCTCAGAGATACTATCCAATGTCAAACTTCCCAGTCAGCTACATAGGCTGCTTTCCCTAGTTCATCCCTGGGTCTTCACTTTTCTGAACTGTCCTTCAGTTCATTTAGATTGTTACAATGAAATATTTTAGACTGGGTATCAAATAAGAAATTTGCTTCTCATAGTACAGGAGGCTAGGGAAGCCAAGATTAAGGAACCAACAGGCTCAGAGCCTGGGGAGGGTCTCTCCTTCATAAAGCACCTTCCTGCTACACCCTCAGATGGCAGGAGCGAACAAACTAGCTTTTGTAATGCATTAACTTTCTTGGTGAGGGTGCCAACCTCGTGAGCCAATTAATCTCGCTATCAGCGCTCAGGGAACAAGGATTTGCATGGACAGTTCTGGAGCACGTGGACATCCCAATCACAGCAGTCTCTGCTGTCCCACCTCCCCTGGGTTTTGTCTGCAAACATCTTGGCTGATCAGCAAATCCAATCATCTTTTCAAAGCCACATTTTTTATGACCTATCAGTCAACTGCTTTCTTCTTGAAAGCAACTTTCATCTTTGGCAGAGGATGAGGTGGCTACCACTTAACATCTTAAAGAAAACAGCAAAAATTAAAATAAAAGCCAAAAGCCCACATGGCAAAGAGATAATTCAGAATCTCTGGAAACCCTGGCCACAGGCAGTCACCAGCCCTTTTGATGAATTCCCACCAAGTTCTCAAAACAGACAGTGAGAACAGAGACTCTAGAAAGCCCTTGTCTGGGAGAGCACAGGGATGAGACGTCACTCGTGATTCAGGCCATTCTCCCAGAGAAGCCAAAGCTGGAAGCCACCGACGGAAACCCTGCAAAGCAGGGTCTGCACAAAGAAAAGCAGAAAACCCTCACAGTCCTGCTTCACAGTCCCACTGCACCCAGGGAGGGGCACAAACCGCCCGTCCTCCAGGTAGGGGTGGGGATCCCCAAACATCCCTCCCAGCAAACTTCCAATGAACAAACACTGGAAAAAAAAAAAAAAGGTAGTTCTGAAATGTGTCAACTTGGTTAGAATTACTATTTCCGGGCCCGGCGCCATGGCCTAGCGGCTAGAGTTCTCGCCTTGACCGTGCCGGGATCCCATATGGGTACTGGTTCTAATCCTGGCAGCTCCACTTCCCATACAGCTCCCTGCTTGTGGCCTGGGAAAGCAGTCAAGGACGGCCCGATGCTTGGGATCCTGCACCCATGTGGGAGACCTGGAGGAGCTCCTGGCTCCTGGTTTTGGATCAGCACAGTACCAGCTGTTGAGCTCACTTGGGGAGTGAATCATCAGATGGCAAATCTTTCCCTCTCTGTCTCCTCCTCTCTGTATATCTGACTTTGCAATAAAAATAAATAAATCTGAAAAAAAAATTACTATTTCCCAGGATTGCTTCCACACAGGTTTCTGGTAGAGATGGGTCACCAAGCACTTCTCCACAGTATCTGCGGGCAGAAGCAACAGCCACCCTGGACCGTAAGCTCCGAAGGCAGGAGCAGAAGGCCGTGCAATTCACAGCTCACACACATTACTGCTTATCCGCAGCCATACCTTGTTGGAATGAGATGTACTTTGTTGGAACAAGCTGCAGCTAAGCCTGTCTCACTTTTCACTGGATCCCCTTTTGCCTCCTTAAATATCGTGCTAACTGCTTATCTGCTGCTGTGCATTCGGTCAGCAAACGATGCTGACTTTTCCCCCAGAATAGCTACATCGGTAATGCTGTAGTCAGTGAGAACTGACAAGGATTCCGTGTCCCAGGAGGATCCAACTCACGTTCCTGCGTTCAGGCCTGCCCATACTTCCCCACCTTAACAATTCCTTCCCTTCCCAACTGCCATGTGGATGTCAGGCCCTAGATTCAGATACGAAGCAAACAGCCTCACAAAGCCTATTTAATGAGTTCCCACAATTATAGAAAGATAACTCCCTATAGCACATCGGTGTGCTTCCATTTATCTGAGTAATAACCCCATTCCTCAGCTAGATGCTCTGAATTCAGAACAGAAGGAATCACCTTCACCCTAATAAAGAACACATATTAAAAAGCGCACAGTGCAGTACAGTGAAGGCACCGCCATGGCACTGTGGGACCTGGTTCAATGCCCACCTCCAGCCCGACGCCCGCGTCCTGCAATGCAGACTGGCAGGCAGCGGGCAGTGACTCAAGTCATTAGATTCCCTGCCACCAAGGGGAGGACCTGGACTAAGCTCCCGGCTTCTCTCATCAGCTTGGCTCTGCCCCAGCTCTCGAGAAGCATTTGTGGAGTTAACCACAGAATGAGAGCTTTCTCTACCTCTCAAATAAATAAAAATCAAAAATCCACAGCTCACAATGTACTTACCAGTGAATGACTGAATGCTTCCCACATAAAAGCAGGAACAAGTCAATGATGCCCACCTCAACACTACAATTAAATATACAGAAAGTTCTGGCCAATGCAAACCCAAGAAACTAAACCCACACAGACTGGATACAAAGAAGCAAAGCTGCTTCTTTCAGAAAGTGACATTACTGTCTACATACAGCTTCCCCAGGAATACACCTGAAAAAATTATTTGAACTACTAATGCAGTTCAGCAAGGTCACAGGTTACATAATCAATATAAAAAATCACATTTTCATATTATGAACATGTAGAAGCTGAATTTAAAATCAGTATTATTTATAATTGCTCTGAAAAAAAATAAACATTAAGGCACAAATTTAACAGCACATGTTAAGGATTTATAGCCTGATAATTATATAATGGTGATGAAAAAAATCAAAGCCCAAAATAAATAAGACAGATGTACCATGTTCATGGAGAGGAAACGCAGCATGGCAATGCTATCAGCAACCCCATCTCCACCCATCCAGAGAAAACCTCTAATCTAATCAATACCTGTGAGACTCTGGGGAAGTTATCTGGAGATACGGACAATCTCATCCTAAAAATCACATGAAAAGGAACAGGATCTAGAATATCTCAAACAATGTTGAAAAAGAATCAAGTGTGAGCAGTCACTCTACTCCAATGTGAAAAGCTACAGGCAGTGTTAAACCTCTGCCCACAACGTGAGCATCCCACATTAGAGAGCTGGTTTTGAATCCAGCTGCTCCTGTCCTGATCCAACCCCCTGCTGACGCACCTAGGAAGTCAGCAATGACAGCCCAAGCTCTTGC